GTGGATGTAAAAAAACACTTCAGCCTTCAGACACATTACAAGGACGCATATGTCAAAGTTCCATGCTACCACACATGTGTTTTGCAGGTGTGATGGTGCATGGACAATGGCCAATTGTTTACCCTAAACCCAGTGGTTCCTCTCAGGAATTGTACACAGTGGCTACTGACTCACAGCAAAGCATGACAAACAGTGTGCTAACTCAATCTGCTCTTGACTGGGTTGAAGTGACCACTGAAACCATGTGAACTAGAAAAATTGTCTTAGGAACAGGGAGAATGATACCAAATTAGGCCAATGTGAGAAAACTGCTGGCCAGCCACAAAGTCTCCTCAACAAGAGAGTCCTTGTCTTTCTCGCTGTCTGAGGCTCTCTTTCCTCCTCACTGTCCCTCTGATTCTTTTGTACGCTGTAGCGTTTGTGTTTATGCATAGAAAAATAGCAGCAACACAGAGACTGTGTGACCCAGGGGCAAAACATCCAGAGAACAGGGACTGGGGAAAAAAGCACATGGCTCAGAATAGCTTGTTGTCCCCAAGGGGCTTTTCTGTCCTGTTCCACTCTGTATTACCACTGTCGCTCTGCCTTATCGTATTCCCAAAGCTGAGCACATAGAACACAACTTCAAAAACGACACTCACCATCTAAAACTACCTAACCTTTTCCCCCATCTTAACAAAGGAAAAAACAAGTCTGAGTCTGAGGAAGAGGGAGCTTGCTATCACCTCTCCCTGCATCTGCCCGGCCTGAGAACAGCCTCTCTGGTCCTTGCTGTTGCCTCCACCATTACCTGGGGGGAGGGGGGTGTCTAAATATAACAATGACCACACAAAGTTTTAGATGCTGGAGTCGCAGGCCAGCCAGAGAGGCCTTATTTCCCAGAGTGGCAGCACTTTTTCAAGGGGTGGTATGATGAGGACAGGAATGTCAAGGGAACAGTATTCATAAACACAAAACCACAGGACCCTGCTGAGAAAGCCACATTCTCATAACTGGATGCTCTTCCTAGCAAAGGATAGAGTCATAATAAAAGCAGAGAGTTCAAATAAGTGGCACTATTATGTTATAAAAGCTTTGTTAAGTCAGATTTGGATACGAAGTCAATAATGCATGGTTAAAATGCACAAGGGAAAATACACAATGTTTGAGGAAGTTATGCAACCTCCCACTGAATGTCATGCTATTTTTAAATTTCACCTTGTATGTAACCATTTTCACAATTATCCCCTTCTGCAATACAAACCTCCTTCACACCAAGATTCAAATGCACAGGTAACCAATAAGCGCACAACAACATGATATCTGATACTTACTCTGTTTGTATACTGCTGCAAACCCTGCAGCACAGCACTGGTTTTTACAGTGCCAAAATGATTCAACCTGTTACCCAATGAAAAAAGCCAAACTGGGGCCAAAGTCAGCTCATCTTGAGTCAAAAGATAAGCAGAAATTATGCTAGGTTCACTGGTGATTTGCTTATCATAATTTTCATGTTCAACACAGAAACGGGGGATTATGGTACATGGAAGGGGAACAGCATTGCACTGGAGGGAAGCTCTAATTTCACTGCAAGGATGTTAAGCATTTAGAGCAAAAACAAATCTAAATGGCATCTAAAAAAGACACAAACTAGAAATGATAATAGAGGAGAAATTCCAAGTGAGCCCAATTTAGCCTTTATACAAATGCCAAAAGACAAACAACTATCGGGGCTATTATTCCATGGAGCTATCACTCATCTCCTCAGTGGTGTGTCTGTTTTCAACCCGGGTGACGATGTGCAATCTCTACAGAAGTGTGACCTCACTTTTTTAATTTCGAGACAAACTTAGCTCAACCAAATTTCACACCAGGATCTTGGCAGGTCCAATTCACAAAGATATAAAAAACAACAACAGAAAAGCAGCAAATTATCACATTTGAAAAACGTGAACCAGCCACAGTTTGGTATTTTCTTGTTAAATCACTTATCAACAAAATTACTAGTAATTACTTTGCTGTTGATTGACAAGTTGAACATTCATCTAATCCTTTAAGCACTCATGGCAATGATAAACAGTTATTAAAAAGGCCTCTATATATAGCAGCGCCACATCACATGATATTGAAATGAGATAAGGCTTGATAAGGTCTTGGCTTTTTTTGTCTTTTAGTCATATGTTATTATAGGGATGTGACACCGTTTTCTGAACTAATCAGAATGCTCCATCTTAGTTAAATAAAAAACAATGATTCTTTTTGCTTGGTCATCATAACAATATTATTGATGATGATTGGTTTCTCTCATGTATGAGTATCCTTTAGTCACAATCATTAATGTAGCGGTTCAAATATCTATGTATTTGGTCAGGAATACTATGAGCAATCTCATGGGCTTGAATCTGCCGGCCGGCTGAAGCTTTTGCATGTTGTGTCTGCGAAGATTCCCTCCCACACTCCACACACATGCATGTTTGTTGAACTGTTAACCCAAAAATAGTATGTAGGTGTGAATGTGAGTGTGACAACCTGATGTGTGATTGTGTATCCCTGACTATCGCCCATTGTCTCCGGGACCTTGTGACCCTGACCAAAATAAGGAATATGGACGTCCGGAAAGAAAACACTGAAACTCTGAAAAGACATTTCATGAGTCACACAGCAGGGCTAAAGCCTCTTTGGTAAAAGCCTTCAATATCTGGTGCGTTTTGTGACACCCACATCGGGCCTTTGACGTCTATCATAAAGCCGCCATTCAGGCAGACAAAAACACCATTGATGCCTCTCCACTGAAATAATATTATCACAATGGAATACAATGAAGGCTGCTGACTGAAGAGAGTTACGAGTCAACCGTAGATGAACATTAAATTTGGTCTCAGAGTGAGACATTGAGATTTAGTGATAAAACTATTGAACTGATGGTTTTCACCAGTAGAGTTGTTCAGCAAACTAAATCTTAACTCATTTGCAATGCTGCTGAAATGTGCAATGCTTTCATCATGAAAAGAAATACATCAATGCTTTTTGATGCCTCATGCAGTGAGATAAGTGGTGATTTACAGCACAAAAATGAAAAAGACTTAATCACCAACTCTGAGAATACAAAAAAGGCTAATGCTGCTGACTGAGGCCCATTCACAGGCATAAAAACAAAATAAGGGCTCACTTGCTCTGCCTCACACGTGGCTCACATCCTGTTGGCATCAGACAGGGCAGTCAGATCATTGTTCAAGAGAACATTTAAGTCCCTGAAAGCTTTCTGCAAATGAAAGTCCGGTTCTCACACATCTCTTGAAGTCAAACTGTAAAGCTGAGTTAAGCTGATCAAAGAGCAAACTTGTGCGGCACAGCAGAAAGTTAAGACTTTTCCTCAACCTAGCAATGAGTAAAATATAAATCAAGAAGCATGTTTTTGTAAATACACTGATCACATAAGCACTTTATCTTGTACATAGGACCACCATTTTGTAAATGGGCATCACAGTAAAATTGAGGATTGGTCAACTCATTCGGGACTCTCAGATCGGAAATCAAACCGCAAGACCACAGAGCAGCAAGAGAGACACAAAGAAATGCTAAGGCATGGGAGGAGGGGGGGGCTTTCAAATGCATCACACAACAGTACACCAACAGCGCTGTCACCTTTCCGGTGTGGGGCTTCCTCCTCAAACCACAAGTGGAGTGTCACACGATGTGACACGCTAATGGCTTAACATAGACACAATAAAAAAATAAATAAATAAATAAAAATGCTCCAACCTCCATGCCACAGACTATACAAATTTTCTCAGATGACAATGTGTGGAGTGATTCATACTGAGGTAATTAGATGTTCCTGAGCATCCATAAGCACCAGACTGCAAACATGCATGTGCAAATACATAAAACATATTCATTTGTCTCTTTCAACAATGGTGCACACCCATTAATGACCGTGCATATTTAATTGTGGGGAAATGACTATAGAGCAAATGTGCACTTGTCATTAGCAACATGCACATCTGTTACATTACACTGAAAACAAAAAAACAATGAGGGGGGCAAATGACAGTACAACAATGACCACGAGACATCTGGTAGAGGATGAGGGCTAAATCCTGCTGGAGATCTTTCACTCAGACTGTCTGTAACCTCCCCCACTCTCCATGTATGAACCAGTGAGACGCCCAGTTAACCTTTCAAAGGGGACCACGCATGGCATGGCATGACATACAGACCAGTAACTGGCCTACTTCTGGATGCTGGGGCATCTGTGGTCTGTGTAGTGGGGCTGTGTACAGAGTAAAATCTGCTCTCTCAAATGACAAGAGCTGTGTCTCCTTTTATAAATAAATACATAGACTGGTCTGCTATCTTGATCAAAAGTATAGTTTCTGATTCTGACTCTTGTCTCGTGCCTGCTATTATTAAAATGCGGAACTTATGGATGTCAAGGCTGACTGACATCGCAACCAAACAAATACTGTTTGTTGGAGTGGGTAACCAGAGAACTGAGGACAGGGAGACGGATCCCATCATGGACACATTTCTCGCCATCATGGCCAGTGTTTACAAGCCATTAAAGTGCTGGAAAGCCCGTGAGGAGTGATGCAAAAGCAGAAATTCCCTTAGAGAAGCGCTCGGTCACCGCTCTCACCACAAGGGGTTTGTTACGCTAGCCATCTTCTCTTACAGTAAAAGGTATCTGTTCCCATAACAAGAACTGGTATAATCTTCATTTCTATAAATCACGTGCACACGGGACGAACGTTATCCATGGCTGTCCACGCGCGGTTAGCCGTTACAATTGATTAGTAAGTTAACGTTAGGTGTAGCTTCCTTTACTGTTTTATAGTTGCTTAAGCAAGTTGTAAAAACACACAAGGACCAGACAGAGATTCGGGCGACAAGTCTTTTGTGGCCACCCACGTCCTGGCTTTCCCAGCGCTAATAACCGTAAAGTGTATGAGGAGTAAACAGTGGAGTAAAGACGCTAACGTTCACAGTAACCTAACTAGCAAAGCGTCGTCGCTGCTTACCTTTTGAAGTGACTTCCCTTCTTCTTCTGCTGCTGCTGCGCTGTACCTACAAGTAGAAACTAAATCCACTATTCTCATTCTCTCCCTCGCTGTCCAGGGGAGCCGTAACCAAAATACTGTCACCGAGCTGAAGGCTTGTACCCGACTGTCGACTAGCTTCGCTGAAGTCGCTGCTGGTCAAACGGACGCACCCCCCAGGACAGCTCAACATGCCGCGAACTGGCTGCAGCTGTCTGAGCACCAGTGACAGTGCGATGCGCGCACACGGGCAGCGAGGGGAGGCAGGAGGAGGCGCGCGCTCCTCAGAGGGAAAGATTGAGAAGGGGTTTTCGTGTTTGATATGATGTGCAGCAGCTGAAAAAAGACGGTAAGCCATCATATTTACTGCGTGTTTTTTGCGAACACGATACTTTAATTGAAACGATGAGATAATTTTACTTATTTCTTTTTGTTTTGCATTGTTTTGGTAGCTGAAAAACGCGATGAGTTAAAGGTTAGTTGAATAGTTAACGTTAATTAACGTTAATGCTAGCTTGTTGTAGCTCGTAGCTTGTTCCATCCATGTTATTTGGGCATTTAGTGAAAACATAGCGAGTTTTTTTACTTTGAAATAAATAGTTGCAAGAAAATATATCGGATGGACAAACTCTTTGACAAAAAAACTGTCATCTTGCGCCCTCTGCTGAATTAACACTAGACATACAAGTCATACTGGGACGTTGCCTCATGTTTTATCTCCAGCTAGATCTGTTTGGCTTGTGAAAGTCTTAATTTGAAGATTAATTACGACCTCCATTTCAGGTTATGTCCTTAACTTGGACACAAACCGATGAATTATTTTTTATTTTTGTCACCCATTAAGTTGACACTGTAGCCCTCTGTGGGAGGGGAGGAAGTGAACACATCAAGGGGTTTCACAAGGTAAAAGACATGAAAAGGGAAAAGTCAGAATAATTATAATTATGTGTTACAAACATATGTTCTCCCTTTGTTAGTGAACTTTATTAAACAATTTAGAATTACAGCAGTAAGTCCATCATATTACAAGTAAATGGACATGAAACTGAGTAGAAAAAAAGAAAGGGAAAAAGGGATGTCAGCCAAATTAAAGGGAAAAAAAATACTTAACAGGAAAAAATAAATAAAGATACAAATTAAAAATAGTACAACATAAATAATACAAAAGAAAGTTATTTGGTCTTTGAAAGTCTTCTTCTTTCGGCTCTTCCCTTAAGGGGTTGCCACAGCGAATTATCTGCCTCCATCTAACCCTGTCCTCTGCATCCTCTTCTCTCACACCAACTGACTTCATGTCCTCTTTCACTACATCCATAAATCTCCTCTTTGGTCTTTCTCTCTCTTGCCTGGCAGTTCCAACCTCAGCATCCTTCTACCGATATATTCACAATCCCTCCTCTAAACGTGTCCAAACCATCTCAGTCTGGCCTCTCTGACTTTATCTCCAAAACATCAAACATGAGCTGTCCCTCTGATGTACTCATTCCTGATCCTATCCATCCTCGTCACTCCCAAAGAGAACCTCAACATCTTCATCTCTGCTACCTCCAGCTCTGCCTCCTGTCTTTTCCTCAGTGCCACTGTCTCTAAACCAAATAGCATCGCTGGTCTCACCACCTTCTTGTACACCTTTCCTTTTAATCTTGCTGGTACTCTTCTATCACACATCACACCTGACACTTTTCTCCACCCATTCCAACCTGCTTGCACACGTTTCTTCACCTCTTTTCCACACTCTCCGTTGCTCTGGGCTGTTGACCCTAAGTACTTAAAATCCCCCACCTTCTTTATATCTACTCCCTGTAACCTCACCGTTCCACTTGGGTCCTTCTCATTCACACACATGCATTCAGTCTTGGCTAACCTTCATTCCTCTCCTTTCAAGGGCATACCTCCACCTCTATAGGTTTTCCTCCACCTGCTCCCTGCTCTCACTACAGATCACAATGTCATCTGCAAACATCATAGTCCATGGAGATTCCTGTCTAGGGTCTGTTCATTTGTACATTTCTACACAGTTGAGCAATTTGTTTGCATATTTAGATTTCATACACTGTCAGGATTTACAGTACAACAAAAATCACTATGGGTGGTGCTTTCACAATTTTGCTTTGTGCATGTAATATTTGGCCATAATGATAATTGTGTTAGTCAATATATTTTCTCGTCTTTCTTTCATAACTACTCCATACATTACATCCCCGTGTGAACTGGGTGTAGCTGTACATTCTTTTGTTTAAACCATTCTTCTGTCTGTTTCCAAAAAAAAGTTGGGGAATGACCATAAGCTCAGAAAATGTGTTCTGTGGTTTCAGTATCTGAAATGCAGAAACAACAAACATTAATCTCAAAGTTAAATCTCATTCTAAGGAATTCATTTGAAAGATATATATTATTAATTAATTCAAAATGAATTTCTTTGGCTTTGGATAATATTGGATAATCTAAGAATACTGTTTTTAATCTCATTCCTTTTCAGGATGCATGTCATGAAAATCCATTACTCTATTGAACTGGATATAGATCATCAGTTACTATTTTTCTCATCTGACTATTACTACATTTTTTACTGAGGAAATGAAATTCTCCCATATATAAATTTGACAATGTTCATACTGAATTAGTATGTTGTATCACTTCTTTAGCACAAGTAATAATGGTTTGGGGATGGCATTAGATAGGTTAAAAATTGTTTGGGGTATCAAAAAAATCTAATTTAATGCAGAAATCATAACATGTTTTTCTTATTTATCCACTTAGTCATCTTGTGACTCATATCTATCTCGGGATCTGACCTGATTTTATGATACCTTAAGTACAATCTTGAAATGTGCCCTCAAGAAAAAACATCTGCTTCAAAATCTGCATATTTTGTATATTTGGAATGGTCATCAGTCACCATGCAAATGTGGCCTGTTGACAACAACACCCCACAGATCTGTTGTGTGTCGCCTAATAAATGCAACAGACTGCAGTCTTTTAACACATACCGGTCAGTGCAGCAGTGGATGTCTTCCACATAATATGTATTGGACTTTGCTCTACATCTCAATGAATTCAAGTCATGCAGTTGTTTTAGGGTATAACACAGAGAAGGAACAAGACTTCTTATGTGTGCAATTGTTGCAAATGAACAGCAGAATACATTGTAATTTAATACAACATCAAAATCTACCCGGTGAATGTTGCCTGTGCCTAAGGATTGGCCCATTCTCCCATTATTTTCAACAGTGTGCAACAGTGCCCCCCTGTGTCTGGATGTACATTGACCTATGTGTTTCCTTTTCTCTGACTTTGAACTGTTTTGCCTTCTGTAACCATCAGCCTTTTTCATGGAAGACATGTGACAAGTCTAAGCAGGAAAATCACATGTGTAAAATTACAATGTAATAGGAGAGAGACATTGTTAATGTTATCAGTAACACGTGATTTTCATATTATAACAAGTCAAAATGTCTGCTATGAAAAGGGCCTATTTTCAGACCTTTTTTCATGGCAGATAGAGAGTTTAGGTATGACTAACATTACTAATGGCTACATTCCACTTGGGTGTCCTCATGGCAATACTACTAGGTCAGCAGGAGCAATTCCAAAGCCCTTCAACTGGGACACCTAAGTGAAATAGAGCCTTTATTCATGTTATTAATTAAACCTGTGCTGTCTGTGCGACAGCATGTCAAAATATCTGCTGTGAAAAACCTGTGTAGTAGCTGACACTGACAGTGCACAGCCAAACAGGTGTGTCCAGTTATTTGAGGTTGATAAGACCTTTTTTTAGTGGTTGACGTTGAGCAGAGTAGTGCTGGGAATTTGCTGAGGTCATCAAACTCAGTATACGTAATAAGGGTGTAGGCCAGGCATGCTGAACTTGTTTTGCTCGAGGGCACTTTAACAGAGTGACAGGAGGCCAGGGGCCAGTTAATAAACAAACGTTAATAGTTAATATGTAAATATTTAGCCCAGACTTTTGTAAGGGGCTCCAGGGCTTACCTCTGGCACCTTATTCACATTTAAAGTACAAAAAAACCCTCCCAGTCTGAATTAATTCATTGTCACTGTGAATTAGAAAATGGCGTTGGGCCACCCAGCACCCTATGTCAGGCCATAACTGATGTAGGCTGTCCCATAATCAGAGGTGCAACAGCCTTAAAAAGAGGTCTGTCAAGATCAGTCTTGGTCACTTGGATGGCGCTCTGTGATGACTGCAGGAATCCTGGTTAAGGTCCTATCAGGTCCTAATACCTCAAGCTTAGTTTTGCGCCACTACATCATTTTTGGCAGTACCGGGACTAGTGACTCACTGTTAGTAACTCACTAGTGGACTGCACAAAGACTAGAGGGATCTTAAAGGCAGCAAGAAGCCTCTGTAAAGGTCATTGCCGGCAGGAGAAAAAAAGCATCTGGCAACATCAGAGAAACCTCATGACTGTCCGCACCACCCTTCATCAAACAGTTGAGTTTGCAGCCACAGGGGAAGGGGAAAGTAATTAAAAAAACGAAGATGGCTGCATTTTATAGGTATGCCAGTTCTAAGGCCATGGTGTTGGAATTGCTGCCTCTTGCACTTTAATGCAAGAGTCATCATTAATGCGATTAGTAGCCTAAGACTTGAGCTGTTCCTGCTATGACAAGTCAGACTGTCTGTGGTGTATAAGGCTTATTGACACCGAGGAAAACAAGATATAAAGTGAAAACACTTTTTTTTTTTTTTTTTTTTAAATTTGTGGCTGTTATGAGCTTTAACAGTTACTGCAATTGCAGTAAGTTCTGAGAATTGCCATAATGTGTCCCCCTGTATTGTTATATTGTTTTTGGTGATCAAATTATTTATCATTATCAGTGGGGCTTAATCTGTATCAGGGTACACTGAGAATTTAACAACAATGTATTAAACAACCCTAGACCTAGAGAAGGCACACTCTATTGGTGAGATGGTGTCGATATCATTATATAGGGGGGTGGGCACAATATCAAATAGTAACACCTGTGGAATATAATGCAATGTATTATAATTACTATTAAGAATGGTGATACGTGTTGTTTTTGTTGATACGTGTTACAGAGGTGTTACTAGGCATTGGAGTGCACCTTGTTGGTTGTATATGGGGGATAAAAAAATGAATGACAGCAAAACTTAACATGGGAGCAGAGTATTTGTTGCAAGGCTGTTGTGCAAGTGTTGCTTGTACAATGTCCACTTCCTGTATTACAGGAACTGCAGAACCGAGAATTATCATATTAAACTGTAGGGCTCATCGATATGACAATATGTGAAACTGTGTGAATTTGTCAACCATCAGAGATTGCCACGTAGCTTAGACTGTGGTATCACTCCTTACCATGTCTATAACTGTTTTATACCATAATAGGAAATGTTGCAAGTCATGGGAAAGACTGATTTATGACAGTGTAGGATGTTATGTTATGGCCAGATTAACAAAAAAGAAAACACTTTCCCATTGGTTGTTTTATTTATAGATATTTTCTAAATTTATTTTCCACAATAGTTTTTTTCCCAACAGTATCTTTATTAATTCTAACAACAATAAACAAGGACATACACACATCAGGTGTGTGTACATATACAGGCACAGAAATGTAAAAGAAATACCAAAACAAAATGTTGGTACAACTGCTGAATGTTTAACACACACACACACACACACACACACACACACACAAAATAAATAAAATAATAGAAATAAATTAATGAAAAATTTAAAAAAAAAAAACATATATAAATGAATGGAGGCAGAAAATAAGTAAATAAAAAAGCAGGGTGGGACCCCTGCATTATGTTGATATGGTGTTTATCATTTGCACAGCTCATCAGTCTGGGTACATGCAGTCCTCGGTGCAGTGAAATGCTCATGGTGTCTGTGATGTCATCGCCAGCACGATATATTTCCATTGGATACCTGATGTCCTCACACAACCCATAGACGCAACAAATTCAGGGACCTCGCGGGGGCGCTGTTCGTGCAAGGACGCGTTCAGTAGGCGACTCGTCTCAAAAGGGGGCAGGCGTTGGACAAGTCTGTGTACTCCCATTCATGTTGAGTGTATAGCAGTCTCCGCCGACAGCCAGGCCGTGTCACATCCTGGTCAAAACAGAAAGCTCTGCTCTCTCTGACTGATAGAAAGGGTCGGTGAGTAATATTTATGCTTTTTTCGGTACATGTCTCAGCTTCATAATGACTCAGTCTCGGCAGTTTTGGAAGTAGGTTTGCAAATATGGCTGCAATAGATATGATAGGAGGAAAAAAACTCGACTAGCTAAACAAAAACCCATTGAAAGCTGTTCATATCTGTGCGCAGCTTTTACCTTCGTGTCAGATTGTTGCATTTCCTTATCGGCGCAGTACATAGTAAAGCTGTGCGGTGTTTATAGTATGTACAGTAGATTTTCTCACCTTCGCATTGGCATAACCGGGTATGTGCTTCTCTGGCCTGTAGCTGGCAGAAATTAAGTTTTCATGCAAATGTTGACTCATGAAAGTCAAGACTAAATCTCTAGGGGAACTGTCTATGACACTCACAGCCATAGTTTTTAACAGCCATTTGTGAAAATATGGCCTCTATTAAATATCTGCATTACTCATTTAACCTCTTGTGACTTTCTGTAGGCTGTAGGATCTTATATTGAACGATCCAGGTAAGGGCTTATCCTCCTTGCTAAGTCATAACATGAATGTAGGCAAAAGTCCAAGTAAAGGTCACCCATTGACAACTTCATGGCAGCACCATTACATCACACACAGTTCTGATATTCAGTAATAACAAAGTGTAATATGTCTGTGCCTGTGATGTGTAATAATACAAAGTGAGAAATTTAGCACAGGTGTGATAATATCACCTGCCAGTGAAGGTCAGTAAGAGCTGATTTGCCATGGTGTCCTTGTATTAAGAGCATCATAAAAGCAGAAATAACACACTCTGTTTATTTACATGTGACTGAAACGCTTGTTATTGTGATTAATATGTTGAATATAGTTTATTGACACTTGAGGGGGGGTGCACACTAGTGACCTAATTTCTCCCAGACCACGTGGGCAGGTTACTTGATATAATACCAGAATAAATGTAGTCTACATATGCTGAGTGGATTTTTCGGGAGTTAATTCGTGTGATCAAGTGTTAGATGATGACAACTGGCTGAACAGGCTTTATGGGGTGGATGATGTGGCGTTTACGGTCAGAATCAGAATGCAGATAGGCATTATGCATGACAACCGGGGGTAGTTTGCATGGTTAATTAACTCTAGTCAGCGATTTGTGTCTGCTTCAACAATATAAAATGGATAAACGCCTGTTATTCAACTCCTAAACAAACAATGTGTTCTCGGTTGCTTCATTGTGACCACGATGTGACATGTTTGCCGGCATACGAGGACCTGTGTGTACTATGATACCAGTTATACTCGGTATCTAAGCGGTGCAGCGCTGCGACCTTTCCCCCAGTTTCTGCAGCACAGGGTGGATCATGTGATGTTGGAAAGTGGCTGGGGGAGGGGACTGGCTGCTGAAACACTGCTGCGTGGAAGGTGCTCCTTCCGAGGACTGAAAACATAGAAACGACGTGTCCTGCTTCCAGAGTGTTCTGGGTGAATGAAATAAAAATGGACCTTGCGAAGATAAAAGCGTTGCTTGTGAGAAAAGAGGAAGAGCTGTGTGGAGAAACGTTAAAGTATTATTGGTGGAAAGGGAAGAGAAAACCTAATACGTTAAAGCATGGCATTATGGGATGCCAAACATTGACGCTGATGTGTAAATAACAGTTTAATGTTCACAAATGATGATAAAAAAAATTAAGGAATTAAACAGCTGTGTTAGACAGCTACTTTTTAAACATATGCTCATGCAGCGGTTTGATTTCCGACAGCAGTTGAAGGCAACAGGAAACAGCAGGTCCCTCACAATGCCGCAAACACAGTCTCATCGTTCAGATGATAGCCTGCAGTTTACACATTGGCTGCTGATGGTCTAAATACCAGGGATGGTTAAATTAATGTGTTTGCTAATGCTAACCACCATCTGCATCATCAGTTAGTACACAAACAACAATTAAATCTGTATATTAGAGGCCCTATTAGCTCCCCAATTCCAAGAGACAGGGAGTCTACAATATGCAATTCTGGGTAAGGTAAGCACTGACAAGACCCATTTGCCAAATATGAGCTTTAGGCTAAACTCTCCACCAATCAAGTTTTTTAAGTCTGTCAGTGACAGTGATGGATGATAGCAGTTCAAAATACACACCTTGTTATGTCATCCATGCATGCTTAAAATCAGTTCCCACATAGCTTTCCTTTACTCCCTCCCCTCTTATCTTCCTTACTATATCAAATTAAAAAGAATTCAATTCAAAAATGCATCTTAACATTAGTTTAACACGCAATCGCTCACTTAACATTTGCAGATTTGAAACAGATGTCATTTCTAGCTTTGAATCAAATAGGGTGTCTTGCATCAGCTTTCTTATGGTAAAGGATAAGACGCTACACCTGCCTAACCAGTTCAGTGATGAGAACAATATAGCCACCTCCCTGCGCATCTCTTGAGGTGTCAGCTTGCAGGATCCAGTTTAGTTGATAGAGTAACTAAGTGTAGAATCATGCGCATAAAGCTGATTGATGAAGGACACGCCACTATTCATGATATTTTCTAATAAAGGATATGCAGCTTTCGTAATCATAAAATGCTAATGAACAATCACTGTGACAAAGTATTTTTAACGCAGGAAAACAGCTAAAATGTTGCCAGTTTGTATCTGTGGTTATTCTTTGTACCTCTCAGGGCATCTGATGTTTTTATAAATACCCTGAAGTTTCAGTACTGGCTCACAAGACAGCTTTCTAGAGGGGACACAGACAGTCAGAAGATACCTCTGTGAGACACAGTCTAATGGTTCTTCACAAAAAAAATCAGTCCTTTGATCTAAGACAGAATTAAAACCAAGTAAAGTTGCAAGCAAAGCCAAGATGATTTGGATATGACCATAAGGGCTACACTAACTAGGAAAGTGGACTCAAGGCTTCAGTTAAAGAGACTTGAGGGAAGGAAGGAAATGCAAACTCTAGTAACTCGAAACGCCTGGTCATCCAGCTCATATGTTTCAATATTTCAGTACTGTAACTGTTTGGCCTCTAGCTATGTATATGTTGTCCTTCTTCGTAAACATGCAGTTGTCTATCTAACTCTGTGTCAACTCTACGTCAGTGTCCAATAAGAATCCTTTCCCATTCAGTTGCTGGTTCCCAACAAACAATTTAGACTGATTCAGTCTAGGAAATTAGGTAACCTGCAGTGCCATCAAGGAATGAGGACAACATATTTTAAAGAACAGTGGCAGGAGCACATCACTATAAAAGATAGTGACGATATTTGCCTTTGACAATTATTTACAGCCTCTTCCACATATCAAGATGTGGTTGTTGGTTGTGATCTAATCATTGTTGAAGTCAGTTATCTGTTAACCCAACTTTGTGATGAATTGGCTAAATGGTTGTGTCATCCACATTGTAGAAGCAGGGTGAGGGTTTCTGGAGCAACTTCACCCACTGGTGCACGGAGAAGGGATATGACTCAAAGGTGAAACTCAAGCAACACTTGTAGTATTTAGAAGAACGTAATTGCAAGATCGACAGCAGGCCACAAGCTGAAACATAAAATTGTTCTAACTACTACAAGTATTGCTTGAGGGTCGATGCCTTCGATTTATGCCATCCACATTCACGTAAAGAGACAACATATTGTAGGAACAGTAGTTAAAACGTAGGTGGGCTAATGTTTCTGACCTACATCTATCTTGAAACTTCGTCCTCACTAACCTTGTTATCTTTCACCTTCCTTACTCTCAGTGACCCTGCACAGTAGTAGCCACCATGGCAGAAGCTCACCAGGCGGTGGCCTTCCAGTTCACCGTCACCCCAGATGGCATTGACCTACAGCTGTGCCACGAGGCTCTACGCCAGATCTACCTCTCTGGCCTCCACTCCTGGAAGAAAAGGTTCATTCGCTTCAAGGTGAGAGATGTTAGACACATGAGGGAGCAAAGTACAGTATGAGGGGAAATTTGTGATGATCTTTGACTGAGTTACTGTCTGTCTCTTTTCAGTAAATATTCAATTAATAAACAGCTTCATAGGGTCCCAATGATACTGTTTTTTGACTGATTAATTTGCTCCTACTGTAAATCTGTTTGGGGTGATGTTAACTCGCTCACGCTGGAAGGTCACCTACTCTCACACAAACAGCCAACAGTGACGATAACCTTCCTGTCTGTTCTTTGTGTCCTAGCCTTTGACCTAGTTGTCTGTTTACACCCAGTCAAATACTGAGTCACTCAAACGTAAACACCTGCTAGCGTTTTCACACATTGCTCTTTGTCCAGCGTCATAAATGATATCTTGCATAAATCAGCAGGAGCCAGAACACTTTGTTATGGCATCAATGGTTTTATAAACAGTGTCCTCAAAGATTCTTTGCTTTCTCTGTGACACTGATTTGTAACCTTCCATTTGGTTCAACTTCCCACAGAATGGGGTCATGACTGGCGTGTACCCGGGCAGCCCTGCTGGGTTCATGGTTGTGGTTGTGTCCTACATGTCCTACAATAAATACAACCAGCTGGATCCCTCTCTGGGGTTGATCGCCAAGCTGGGTCAACACATACCCATCAGGTAAGGACACTGATAGGAGGTGCTGCCACGTATGATGTGGTGAATGTCTTTCTTCATAAGCAGATAGAGTAAGCTGGAAAGCCTTCTTTTTTTGGCCTTATAAAACAATATGGAACAACAAAGAGCTTTATTAATGTCAAGACATAGCTACCATGTGAATCTGTTCACAGGAAATGCTGATTAGAAATCTAGTATGTGAAAATGCCCCATCTTGACAAATGACGGTGGAATGCTTTTAATGCAGTGTCATCAAGCTTTTACTACATTTATGCAGTTATGCACATGCCTCCGGTATTTATGAGAAAACGCACAGGCCTGTCTCTCCAGTATGTCTTTCAGTGACAGCTCTGCGTGTAGTAACAGATTGTGAAGTAGTTGTAACTTAATAACCTTCCCACTACCCTCATCTTCCTATTTGCCAACAGTATTGATCATGTTTATTGATGTCATGGAAACACTTCCTGCCCATTTAAAGCCTTTAATAACTCTTATCAACAATGCAGGGATTTTCCCTCAAGTCAAGGACGGTGTTTATGACAGCATCGTTAAGGTTATTATTCCCAGAAATGTCTCATAATTTTCAAAGGACAAGCATATGTGTTGTGTAGATAAGGGCACTTGTTGGTGTTGCGCTGCTTTAGATACTGAAATAGCAGAAATGCAGTGCCACTTCTTAAGTTTATAACATGTATCGTCTGTTATACATGCTACACTGAGTAATAAAGGTGTATGATTTTACCGCTGGCAGTTTATTAGTCATAGTGTGTGTGTGTGTGTGTGTGTGTGTGTGTGTGTGTGTGTGTGTGTGTGTGGGGCATGCATTATCAGCCATGATTTGATGTGACTTTGGACTGGGCCAAGTCTGACAGCTGCCGTATGCCATTAAATGCCTAATGCATCCATTATCTTGTTTCAGTGCACAGTGAGATTCATTAATCGGTCAAACTTGAGAATGAAATGACCTGTGTTAGTATGTCAAACATCATATTTAAGCATATAATCTCTCATATGTATTGTCTCTGTCCACAGTCGGTACATGTCTACAGACAGCCAGAGGATAGTTGGAGGAGTTCTGGTGGGCACGGGCCTGTGGGTCACCATAATCATGATTATGAGGAATGTCCTAAAGTGCCTGTTGTCGTGGCACGGCTGGATGCACGCTCGCCACGGCTCTGTGTCCTGGTCTACTCGTCTGTGGATGGTGAGACAATGGATGTGCTCCTCTGTTCAGTTCACTTTAGAGCAGATTCACACAGGAAATTTCTAGTGACACTGACAGACAAGCGTTGAAGGAAACATTTACTTAACTCATGGCTACACGATTCCGGCTAACAAGACTGTTCTCGATTAAAGTGAATATTATATAATATTATATAATATTGCTGATTGCGATCAGCTGAGACTTCTCCTGGTTAGAATTCCCTTTGTGTTTATTCTTCAGAAGGTTTTTACGGGGAGCCGATTTTTCTGCAGGGGTTTCTTTCTCTCCAAAACAATCAGACCAAGTGATTAAAACTGGTTAAAACACTGAACAAAGTAGTTTAACGTTGCAAATCAGTGTTTCTCCTACGCTGTTAGGCACGTTGCAGACGGCCCACTTGCCCAGCATCTGTTAATTTTTGCTCACCTATTTTCTCTGATAACTTAATGTGCACTCACCTTATTTCTGATCCAGACGTTCAGGTGTTTTTTTTCATCGTGAGCCAAATTATCCATAGAGGTCTCTCCCTCTCAAAAACAAACAGACCTGGTAATGTAAATTAGTAAAACACTGAATAAAGCAGTGTCATGTTTAAAAAAAATCAGTGTTTTTCTGACGCTCTTGTCACGGAGGGGCAGCTAACCACAGTTGCTGACACAAAAAATGTGAATATCCCTGTCCAGAGCCAGTGTTTGGTTTTTCCGTTCTGGACTACTGTAGAAACATGGTGCAACATGATGACCTCTGTAGATGAGGACCTGCTCACTATGTAAATACAAACGCCTCATTCTAAGGTATCGAAAACACAACCGTTCTTCTTTCCAGGTGATTATACAGTAAAGAAAACATACTTGTTATTAATATATTCCATTCCTGCCCATGTATCGCCCTAAATCCTACACACTGGACCTTTAGTTTGATATGAATGAATTAAAGTCTAGGGTGCATTGCTGTAGGACATTGATTTCCTTTTGATGCAAGCCGTAAAAAATACCCAGAATAAAGTAAAGGTATGCCATGTTTGAAGATTCGATTTCTTCTTTACGTAACACGACACAGTTGTGTGACATGCACCTTATACTTTGGTCCCGTTAGCTTATCCAAGTGTTTATATGTTTGCCTAAGACCCTGAAGCTTTCCTGGGGCAACACAAACTGTAACTTCAAAGTGTGTTTGACCTCTCCCATATTTGCTCTGCTTGTCCAGGTATTAGTGAAGGTGTTCTCTGGCAGGAAGCCAATGCTCTACAGTTTCCAGAACTCCCTGCCACGACTACCTCTTCCCACTATCAAGGACACCTGCCAAAGGGTAATTTCTACCTGTCCTGTCACTTCCTGTCTAAACCAATGCCTTGTGCACTACCTCATTGTTCATAGTGATCCTAGCTATTGGACGGGAACCAGAGTGTGCATTTTGAAGAAAACTGAAGAGGGCTTAATGTTCTAAAATGTTCTTCTAATAATGTATTCAGATAAAAGCCAATCAGGGCTACTGTATTGCATGTAAATTATTATCTTTGTGTGTCATGTCAACATAGCCGAGGGCTTTGTTTGTCTAAACAAGCCGATTGTCATTATCCCTCAGGAGACAAAGAATTGATGACTAAATGAACTGACAACCCTTTGCCTGACCCTTTGCCTGACATGTGACTATGCATTCTTCTGTGGTGACAGTATCTGGAGTCAGTGCGCCCACTGATGGATGATGAGCAGTATGAACGGATGACCGGTTTGACTAAAGACTTTGAGAAGAACCTGGGACCCAGACTGCAGTGGTACCTCAAACTCAAGTCCTGGTGGGCCTCCAACTATGTAAGTTTCTCTCTTCTTTGGTCCTTTGCCCCAGTTTTGGACACTGTGGCTTTGTACCAGCTTCAACCTCTTGAAGAAAAGAAGCTTGTCTTATAATGTCACCCCCCCTTGTGTCGCACAGGTCAGTGACTGGTGGGAAGAGTACATTTACCTCAGAGGCCGTGGGCCCATCATGGTCAACAGCAACTATTATGCCATGGTAAGACATGTCTGCCTGAGTGTCTGTTTGCAAACAGTGCCTGAGCCTTTTGTTTAAACATTAAGCAATAAGCATCTCAATGTGGGTTGTGATTCATTCTCCGAAGGTATGTGTTTCATGTTCCTAATAAATTCCTGAGATGAGATGAGTGTGACCCTTTTGCAGCTGTGTGACCTAAAACACAGCTGGGAAATGTTGAGAGGTTTATGCAAAGTGTAATCAAATGTGTAATCATAAAGTAATTTGTCAGTAGAGCTGCGGAGTAACCTGGGTCGCCTCCAGGCTGCTGAGATTCGTTTGATATATGACATTGTAAGTGACATATAGTAACATGCCACATGACAGCTCCACTAACACGTCTCAGGCTAAATAGTAAATTATCGCCATACATACTGAAAAATAATTGTTATCTATAACAAAAATCTGTAGCTTCTTCTACAGCTAAACTTCCTAAAAATGAATTTTTCAACCTTCTTCCTGCAACTTTGATCTGACTGAATATTGTCTTGCTTTTATTTAGTGATACAGATTAGATAGATTTCCTGAAAAATCTAAATTAGCCTTTGGATAAGAGTAGTTTTTATGGTGTACCACTAGTCTTATCTTATGTGTGATTAGCTGTACACAGTTGGGTAGCAAATGTTTTTCTATCTATGGCAAGGTCACACACTTGGCGGCTTAAACCCCATACATGTGTGTCTTAGGGGAACTCATTACAGCTGCAGTCTTACAGTCTTGGGATTTTACAGCTACTTGGCTGGCAAAGCAACAATCACCGTACTACAGTATGTCTAAATTGTTAGTAGTGGGCAGGTTGAATGCTCCAGATTTGTGATCCTGGACCGGGTGAACTCAGCGGGATAATTACCCAGCACTGAGGACTCAAACCCACAGCTCCCCCTGTTTGTTTCTGCCTGAATGAATGAGAGCAGACTGAACTGTCACTGTAGCATGGCAGGCATGAGTCGCTGCTCCTAGACACAGTACTGTGGATCTGTTTAGTCTGTGTGAGGTTATCAAACAGATAGTATAAAGCTGCTTTCACACCAAATCAGGCGTTGCAGCGATTAGCCGCAGGTATGTGTGACGGTTTTAAGAGTGTCACTTAAATGCCGTCTCCTTGTCTCAGTGACTATTTGTCTTCGGTTAGTTTGTTTATGTTTGCTCAAAAGATCTGTGGAGCTCCTTTTGATTATCATACTGTAGCATCTTGACTGCCACAAAAGAACAAACAAGTGTTCTCTTTAGCGGGATTGTACACACGTTTTACTCACTATAATATTCACCAATAGAGAGAAACTTTATTACTCTTTAGCATGGACTGCGAGCGTATTTTGGTCTGATCACCAGTTACATGAGTGGCCACAATAGCGTGATGTTTGGTGGTGTTTCTCCAAAAGTTGATTCTGTTTCAGCTTTTCACTGCAGGCTGCTGCATTTCTTTCTGCTCGACCACTTCAGCCTTGACACACTGCCCGCATTCAAATGAATGGGAAAACTGGTGTTTTCGCCACAACGCCAAATTTAGCATGAATGCAGCCTAAATGGGAAACTCTACTCTTGCTTACAAAACCATATCAGAGAAACACTACTCTAAAAGGAGGTAGACTTGGTATGGGGGCAGTGGAATAACACTGATCATGCTTGAAATAGCCGGTCACGAGACCTGCTGTATGTGTGCATTCAGTCCTCGACCAAAATAACAACACAGAATCTATGGATGGGTCACACTGTGACATTGTTCTGTTCTGTTTGCACTTATAAGTCACGTTTTATATTCCTCAGGAGCGTGTGACGTGGGATAAAACGTGAGTGATTATTAATTCAGAACTATTAATCTCCTTTTTTATCTCCAGGATTTCCTGTATGTGTTTCCCACCTCGATCCAGGCAGCCAGGGCAGGTAATGCCATCCATGCTATCATGCTCTACAGGAGAAAACTGGACAGAGCTCAGATCAAACCAGTGAGTACAGAGCTCCTCTTGTCTTCCTGTTTCACTCCTTAATCAGACCGTGTGTGAGCTGCAATATTAACTATATTAGCAAGTTTGACCATATCAATCCTTTGTAAATGTTTAACTTTCTCATTTATGATTTATTGATGAATAGCTGTTATCTCAGTGTGTTTGTCTTTTAAGTTTACAATGTGAGCTGCTTATCTGTCACAACCCTTTCTTGTGTATGATCTGTGTAAGTAAGTTTGTTATCTCGCCAGTGGTTATGAAGATTCTTGATAATATCCTTAGCTAACTGTGCTTATCTGTGACTTTGATGTTAGCTGTGCACGGTGCTTTTTGCTTGTATTGATGGAGGTGGAGTTGTTATTACCGGCAAAGTGAAATCATAAGCATTTTCTAAAGGCTTGATGAATGCTGGTGATTTCACTGACACTCATCAGTGTCGTCCTCTCCTGCTCCTCTGTCGGCCCTTTTTCCTTTACCAACCTGCATGATGCTTGAGTGCAAATTCTTTTTACATTTGCACACCCCTAACACATACAACATGTTGAACATACACACACTGATCTCTTGCCAAGACCGATTGTATGCAATGCATGAGCTTGCTCTGTTCCACACTCACATTCAGTTGTCTCTGTTTTACTGTTTTGTCCCTTCGCTGTGTCGGACGCTGCGTTAGATATACTTGTTGGCGAACAAGGTTCCTCTGTGTTCGGCTCAGTGGGAGCGGATGTTTAACACCACTCGCGTCCCTGGTTTGGAGACAGGTAAGAGGAGGGCACATCTCCGCCGTGCCCTCTGAACCCCCTACCCCGTGACCCTAGCTACGGCAACAGCCGCTGGAAACCCTGACTACTACGCTCATTCTCAACAGCACAGCCCTGAAACAATCCTACTTCTCATTTTTTTAGTAGTATTATTTTAGACATCTATTGGAGAGATATACAAATTTAAGTTTTAGTATGAATTTGTAAAAGCATCTACATTTTAGTACAGACTTTACTGCTAATATCAGGGCTTTGCTGGTGGCATTGAGATGGCAGACCACTGGTTTTCTGGACCCTACTCATGTCCCTTTCCCTGGCAGCCCTCTCAGGTCCCCTCTCCTCCTTAAGACTGCTTCTTAAACCGATCCTCATCTTTCCTTTCCACTTCATCCATGCTCCTCTCCGCGTAGGTGTGTGTCTGCTGCTGCTCTCTAGTGATTTAGTTTGTCATCTCTGTGTGTTTGACTCTCCCCTTTTGCTTTTCAGCTCATGCTCCTACACACTATTCCCATGTGCTCAGCCCAATACGAGCATATGTTCAACACCAGTCGCGTCCCAGGTGTAGACACAGGTAGAGTCTTTAGCAGTACCGCCTCCTCCACACTACTCCTACTGTACTTCTCCTTGGGACACTTGTCCATGTGTTTGAATCAGAAATAATCTGACCTCCATGAATAAATAATGCATGTGTGAAGGTCTGAGCAGATTGAAGGACTAATTTGCATGTGACTGAACTCTAGTGTTTGAGTTTGAGAAGGCAAAACAGCGACAGTGTAAGACCTGGAAATGTCAAACAGTGCTACGCTGGGCTGAATACATAGAAAATAAATGTATATATATTTATAAAGGGAATGTTCAGTTCAGTATTTCCAAAAGATAATAAAATACTGGTATCACGTTAATGTCTGGGTGATGCCCATTGTTTGTTCAGCATTGTGTAAAAGCACCAAATGACCTCTGAGGTGGCAGGAAGCTTTTATAAAGCAGCTTCAACAAGAACCTGGTTAAAACTTGGGATTAAGGAGAAGATTTAAAATAAAGTATAACATGCATGGTCAGTGTGGTAATGACCTCTGATGCATGATATAACATCAGTCTAATAACCAGGGCGAGGACCACTCTGGTATGAAAGCCCAAAGCCTGAAGCCTTTGGACAAAGACAATTTAAGACCACTTAAATGAACTGAAATATGTTAGAAAAATACTGAGATTCAGTGTTGGAAAATTTTGAAAAACAACTACTTTTGAATTAAATACAACTAAATAAGTGATACATTCACATATTTCAATAAAAAACATATGTTATGATAGGTTAATAAGGAGTTTTTGGAGACAGAAAGATTCATATTAATACGGCCGAGGTCTAGGCTTAGTGTTACCTGGATGTGAGTTGGTTGTTCTTGGGTTTGGTCCTAGTGTAAGTATCCCTTCCCTTGTCTTGCCTGTAACAAGGGTAACGCTTGTTTGAACAACACGAGCAGCACCACAACAATATCGTCAAAGAAGGAAGTGATGTTTTTGAATTGATTTCTCTCGGTTGTGCACAGTGCTGTTCAAACAAACATTGCCTCAATCCATTGTATTCCAAACCACCATTCTGTTCCCAAATTACTTTCCCTTTTCATCTCACTTCCCGCACTTCCCATTTCAAGCTGCTTTAGTTATTGAACTGGGTAGTAGTCCCATCCATCATGAATTCAGTTGGGTTTTTTTGTCCCTGAAACTTAAAAAAGAAGGATGTCCACAACAAAAGAACCAGCCCTTTTAATTGTATTTTGCGCTTGACAGAAATCAGTGGATGTGTGGATGTCACATCATTTCACTGGGACGCAGAACTGGGTACTAACACTTCTGTTGTTCCCAGAAATGAAATGTTGTGACATCCTCACTCCGTTAAAACTGCTGCCTTCTTTTTGAGATTTTAATTACATCCAATTTTCATTTTAATATGCACCAAGATACACTCACAAACACATAAATCTACCCAGACATTACCCTGACACCACCCCAACACTCCAGTTGTCTTTCTTTCTCCGTTTTCCTCTTCCTCTCTCTCCTTACCGTTGGTCCTTCTGCCCCAGACACCATTCAGCACATGAACGAGAGCAAACACATAGCTGTGTACCATAAGGGCCGTTTCTACAAGGTGTGGATGTTTTATGATGGACGGCTGCTGTTGCCACGGGAGATAGAGCAGCAGATGGAAAGGATCTTGGCCGACAAGTCGGAGCCATTGCCAGGAGAGGAGAAACTAGCCGCACTAACTGCAGGGGAGAGGTGGGTGGCATTACAGAGTCAGCTGCTGATGAGGCCAAACACTTTACACTGTGTATTGTAGTATCAAGACAGGAAGTAAGGAAAGACACTACGTAGATGGACATTTAAATGCCATTTAAATCTGCCCGTGATATGGGCCCAGACAGTGTAATGGTCGGAAGCTAATACTGACTTTTAGAGGTAGAATTTGAAGGTAGGAAAGGTTGTGTCAGCAACCACAAAAATGCAAAAGGTTCTGTACCGCTCTTCCACACGTCATCATTGTTTCATTGAGGAGAAACTTAAAGGCACTTGTCTCAAGTGGGCTTGACTTGACTGCCTCAGACCTGCCCTAAAAAAAGGCTGTTATTTGATCCTCTGCAGGACTCCATGGGCCAAAGCTCGTGAAGCCTTCTTCAGCCGTGGTAGGAACAAGCAATCTCTGGACGCCATTGAGAAGGCAGCCTTCTTTGTAACCCTCGATGACACCGAGCAGCGCTATGATGCAGCCAACCCAGTCAAGTCTCTGGACAGTTATGCGAAGTCCCTGCTCCACGGAAAGTGCTACGACAGGTGGGACAAATGAACTTAGTATATTTTATTTCAGGTAATTAAAAAATTTGCAGCACAAGTTCATTTAGAAATAAACTGTTTATTCTTTCTTACCATTAGGTGGTTTGATAAATCCTTTAACCTGATCGTGTTCAAGAATGGCACCATGGGACTGAACGCAGAGCATTCCTGGGCTGACGCTCCAATCATTGGCCATCTCTGGGAGGTACATTTCTCATGTTTGCATTAAACCAACTTCTAATTACGTCACAAAGATTGAATTAAGAAATGAATACTTCAGAAGATTTTTCTTTAAAGTAAAATAACAAATGTATTTAACTTGCTCAACAATCTGAACTAATACAGTGGAGTGGGAATAATGTTGTCATGTTCTGATTGCTGTGATGGTTGTCCATTAAATCTCACCACACACAAATGTAAAAGCAATTTCATCAGTTTAACTGAATTAGTCATGTTAAAACTTGACTCTGCGTTGCAGCATGTTCTTTCTATGGACCCTGTAAAGTTGGGATACACTGAGGAGGGTCACTGCCGTGGGGAGCCCCACCCCAACCTGCCAGGACCTCAGAGGCTGTCGTGGGACCTCTCAACTGAGGTAAGGGTCAGGTTATGCTCATAAAGAACCACGTTGGAAGGGGAAAGGCCACACTTGAAGGTCGGGAGGAAAGCTGGCTATCATAAAGAGGAGGGAACCTAATAATCGTGAAAATACAAGGATGACTGCACACACTATAAGACAGTCTCTCCTCAAAGACATTCATAGTGTTGAATTCAGTGCGCATCGAAAATGAGAAATGGTTGTGTAAATAATGAAAACAGAAGTTAAAACCCTGCACAGCTGGTCACTCACTGTGTGAAGTGGGTGTGAATTTTGAACTATTGGTTTTGGAAAGGGATGCAACCCTTAAATTCTGACACACTAGGATGATGGTGTTCTTGAAGCTGTTTGACCTGTGGGCTGATAGCTAAGATTTGATACTCATAGGCCTTGGTTTCCCTCTGCTGGTAGCTTGAACTATGTGCACCAGTGTTGGTATTTTATTATTTCCATTCAGAGAAGGGCCATTGGGTATTGTTTATTTGAAATTCAAATTGTGACAGTGCAGTAACTGATGCTAGCTTAATAGATACTAATACCACTGATAGAGAATTTATCAATCAGAGCTCTCTTAATTTCTTTGTTTTATAAGTACGTCATCAGTAACGTCATGCTGCATCTGCTCAGACTAACACACGACTCTGTGACTTCCTTTAGTGCCAGGAGGTCATCGAGAGCTCTCTTTCAGTAGCCAAGCCTCTGGCCGATGATGTGGACTCTCATATTTTCCCCTTCAATGACTTTGGCAAAGGCCTGATCAAGAAGTGCCGCACCAGTCCTGATGCCTTCATCCAGATCGCCCTACAGCTGGCCCATTACAGGGTAAGTGCATACATCTCACTGGTTTCAAAACAAAAGTCATGACTTAATAACACTTGTAGGCATTTATTTGTTATTTAGTGGCTTGTCCATGTTGTGATTTTAATTATAAAAACTGAAACAATCCAGTGAAATTCCTCTGAATGTCCAGCAGAGGGCAGTCTCCACTTTCAAGTCAACATTTCAAATAGTAAACTTTGTTTAACTACAGTTTGAAGTTGTTTTCTCCTGTTAGTTTTGCAGTGTATTTGATAATATAAATTACAGGACATGATCATATATAAGCGGTTATTAAACATCTTTGTAAAGTTAATTTATTTTTTTATTTTTTTTGTAGTTACCAACATGTCAAAACTCTACTTTTATCTCATTAAAACAGCCTTCTGCAGTTTGTCTTTTAAATGCTGACCCATACCATCTCTCAACAGGACAAAGGGAAGTTCTGCCTGACCTACGAAGCCTCTATGACGCGTTTGTTCCGTGAGGGCCGAACAGAAACTGTGCGTTCCTGCACCATGGAGACTTGTGCCTTTGTCCGTGCCATGATCAGAGATGAGACAGTAAGGCTACGCAGCAGCAACACACCACACCTCTGTTTACAGTGCTACTCTTACTCTCTGATTGTTAATCGGGTATGCAGATCATGCTCTTTAACAGTTTGTAATGTTTTGCTTTTATCTCACATCCATCTCAGAGAGAAGAGCGTCTCATGTTGCTCAAACAGGCGGCAGAGAAGCACCAGAACATGTACCGCCTGGCGATGACAGGACAGGGCATCGATCGCCACCTTTTCTGTCTCTATGTGGTCTCTAAATACCTGGGAGAGGACTCACCCTTCCTCAAGGAGGTATGATGTCTTGTTGCAAGTTGTTCTGAGATTAGGACAACTTGAATTTACTAAAGAAATATTGTTGGTGTAACTTCTGAAAGTTAAGTCTGAAGTTAAGTTGAGTGTTAAGTGGTTGAAATGAATGTTGTCCAGGACCCCATAAAGAAATAACTACTAGTGCGATTTTTAAAGGGAAACCAGCCTTTTAAAACAAGGAATAACTATTCTAGATTAAGCTTCACTACTGATTAATCTGGCTCATAAAATTTACAGGTGTACGTCCTGTTTGTCCACCTTCTACTTACATGTGACATGGTATATTTAAATCCAGCTACTTTTGTTATATAACATGTGCTACTTCTGCCCTTCTCTCAGTAACTTTCCACTGTGTATTAAGTATCATTAAAGAAAAAATGCTTCTACATCAGGCTAGAAAAACATGTTACTTTGGCTGAGGAGACAGCATGAGTTTTGTTTGACCGGAGAATTAAATGTATGTTACCGCTATGTTTAGGTCCTGTCTGAGCCATGGAGGCTGTCCACCAGTCAGACGCCACTGCAGCAGCTTGAGCTGTTCGATCTGGTCAAACACCCTGAGTATGTGTCCTCCGGCGGCGGATTTGGTCCAGTAAGTTATCCATCAGTTTTCACAGAAATTTTAAAAGAAGGTTGTGCAGTTTTTCTGTAACTGAAAAACAGGAAATGGGACAATCTTTTTTTGTTTTGCCAGGCACTGTGAACATGCCATCCTCTGCAGTACTGATTTCTCTAGCATGTGCAACAGGCATCCTTTTGCGCTTGTCAGGGTGCTCACGATTCGTTCGCAACAACTTAAGTTTCACACTGCCAATCAATCAAACAAGACATAAAATAACAAAGAACGCTGCTTCATCACCAGGCCATCAGTGGTGCTCTGCAGGCTAACGTTAGCAATCTGTGCTCCTACTCTGCCATCCTGAACTGATACTAGAAGAGCTGTAACAAGCGCAGCGACTTTGTCCCTGGACTTAAGTTAAATTTCAGCCGTTTGAAAGAGGGGGAATGCAACATGGAAATATGTCAAAATGTGGGACTGTCATGCACAAATCAGCAATAACAGTGTAACAGTGTGTAGCTAGCTAGTTAGCTACTGAGATATCAGCATACTAGCAATTTTTTTTGTCATGCTTGTTATAAAGGACGGAAAATAATTCATTGAAACATTAAACTAGAATAATATGATGGTTATTATAATTTTAAAATGTTTTATAACAAAGAAAATCCATTTGTGGGCTTTTCTTGTTGCTTGTGCTGACATTTTACCGATGATTCCGCCTAACACACTTTTCGAATTGTGCCTCTGAAAACAAGTAGCCTTTATGCTTCGCCCCACCCTTTTATCCCATCAAGAATAGGTTCACCCTGCCCCTCGACGTGAATATGCAAAATGGAGGGATAAGGGATAAGTTGTAAGAGCAACAGGTGCGATGGGACTGGGCCTAAATCATGCAATCTATTTCCTTCATGTATGGCTCAATATTTGTTTGATCTTTACCAAGGGGTTGCATGTCACACGAAGTGTTTCCTCTGTCCTGTTTTTATGCACGTTTACTGAGGATCTGTATGTACATGTCAGATGTTGAGACTGTTCTTGAGATTAAACTCACATTTCTTTTTCTTTCCTCTTGTGTCCTAAAGGTGGCTGATGATGGTTATGGTGTCTCCTACATCATTGTTGGTGAGAACCTCATCAACTTCCACATCTCCAGCAAACACTCGAGCTCAGAAACTGTAAGTTCACTAGTTTTACATTTTTACAGACAATTTAGATTTGTCTCTGTCCATAATTTGATTACCTATGATTACATATGTCCTCTTTTTTGCTCTATTTCAGGACTCCCACCGTTTTGGCACCAACATCAGACAGGCTATGCTTGACATACTGGATCTCTTCCAGCTTGACAAGAAAACCAAGTGATCGCCCTCTCTATGAGTGGAATAAGCATATGGTTTTAGCAACAGATGTATTCTTCCTGAAGCTTGTACAGAATCAAATATTGGATTTTTGGGTTATTTTTAAGTTAATTGATGTTACAGATATAAGGATGATTATGTGTCAATATGTTTGTGAGGCGTTTATGTGCACTGTATGTATGGGCAAGGTGAGATTCCGGTGTTTTTGGGTACAGGTAGTGCACAGAACAAAGTCTTTATCCACAGGACTGTTTGCACGGGTGCCTTAGTGAGAGGGCAGAAAGGGAGGGAGAAATTAGAGCACTAGTCTGATATCAAGTCTGTATTTCTACAAGAGACTTTTCAGCTAAAGGATTGTTCAGTAGCATCATCCAGTATGAATTTTAAGTTGAGAGATGGTGCAATATTTTTTAATAGTTTTGTCCCAGTTATTTTAGTCTTTTAGGTTTCTTCTGGTCTTTCCAACTGCAGCACCTGAGTTGTGTGTAACTGGCCAAAAGCAACAACGTGATGCTAAATATCATCAACAAATTGCTTGTTGCATGATGTTCATTAATTTCATATGGCTTTGAACAGTTGTATCCTGTAATCTTACATCTACGGAAGCCAGAAGGAGTCAAGCTGTTGATCTATAATCACACAAATCACAAACATTCAGCCCTGTATCAATGCAATCCTGGATCCCAACACAAGACAGGGAGCGTTTCAATCAACGGATCAACATTGCCTTTCTGACTCAAGTGCACAGCCGCTGTGTTTGTCCTTCTCAGCTGCTACCGTGAAACAACATAGCGATGAAGGCAGATCATTGTTGTGTGTGCGTGTTGGTCATTTTCATACTCAGGTTTTTTTTTGGTTTTTTTTTTAACTTGACCTAGTTTAGGGTGCTGGCGACAACATTGAAAGATTAACACCCACGTTGCCGCGTACCTGAGCAACAGTAGAAGAAAGTGAGATGCAGTATGATGCCATGTGACCCCGGTGAGCTAATGGGGAGTTAAATGTTGAGTTTGCGGTGAAGTGAGGGATATGCAGGACGGGGTGTGTGTCTGGGGAGACCAACTGACACACTGCGTGGCCGACAGTGACTTCTTCTTGTCTCTCGTGTTAACTGTGCACTCCATGACTGGTCCTTCAAACTACCCAATTCCTAACTACCTTGGTAGCCTTTTGTCAGATCAAGATGAATTGTTGACTTTTATCAAGTTGTCAGTTACAGCGTTAGTGGTATTGCCGCTGTCGATATAAGGTGCAGAATCACTTAATAGGTTGTGACGTCTCTGCAGTGCAGTAGGAAATCTTTTTTTTTTTTCTCTCAGCCTAACACTTAGGAAGTGCAGATATACAGTAGAGGGCCCGTCGCTATCATAGGAATGCATTTCTGTTTTTATTATTATGTATATTTTCTCAGTTCATCATATTATTTATTTTTCTTCCATGTTTTAACCTCGCTATTCTCAAAACAAACATGCATATTTACCAGCTGAATGCGCAGATGATGAGCACTAAGTTAAAGCTTTACTGATTTAAAAAAAGTGCAACAGACAAAATGCTTCCTTTTTTTTTTTGGACATGTCAGTTTTGTTATCGCATCTTTTGCCAGTATGTTCTAGTTGTATGACTTTTATTTCAATAGACTTTATGTTTACACTGCTGCATGGTTTTTGAAGATGAAGCTGTATATGTTTGCCTTTTAATTTAAAGATGGTGTAAAAAAAAACAACAACAAAAAAACCCCAATCAGCTGATATACCAAAATGAGATTTAACAATAAAGTGAATGTCAGACAGCTGTATATCACCTCTGAGTTTGCCATCTCTTGCTAACAATCCGTTTCCACACTGCATTGTCCACCATTAATGCCATGGCTGATGTAAACACCAAGAAAATCAGATTTTTGGAAAATCCTAATTTATAATGCAGCTAATAGATTATTTGATTGACAGAAAACTGTTTTGATAGGTTATTCATTTATCAAGCTAAACTATGAAGCCCCAAAATTTCTCTGGTTTCAGCTTGTAACGTCAGGATTTGTTGGTTTTTAGAATAACTTTGGGTTTTGGTTTGTGGGTTGGACAAAATCAGCATCTAGAAGATGTTGACTTGAGCTGAATGTCAACATGCTCACATTCACCTCAGCTAGTTCATCTTAGCTTAGCCTGTTAGCATGCTAAAATTTGCTAAGTAGCATTAAACACAAACATGTTACCTGATAATGGTGCAAGAGGAAATGTACGGGGATCACCAAGGTTTTTACAGTTCATCCTGTGGGGGACATGAATGTGTGTATCAATTTTGGTGGTAATCAATTCTATAGTTGTCAAGACATTTCACTAAATTGTGTCGTCCTCATGGTGGCACCAGAGGAAAAGTCAGAATCAACAAAGTCACTAGGAATTCTCTCTGGAGACCATGAACGTCTGCATAAAATTTCAAAGTAATCTATCAACCATGCCACCAGCATGTTTTTTTTATTTTTATTATTGTTATTTTTTCTTCATGAGTCAGGGTATTTTACCACCTTCTTTAATTGGTGCAAAGGGCAGTAAACAAACCTGAGGTAGAGGCATACACTACATACATAAAAGTAGACGGAAACAGAATAGACAAAACGAGACAAACAAAAGGAAAGGAAACTATTTTTGCTGCTGAAAAAATATGAAAACTAGTTGTTATTACTTGGGGTGGTTTTGTAGGGCACACATGTATGCGGCCATATTTCTATCTGATAGACAGAAGAGAGGGTAGACTGATAAAATAAAAAAATTATTATTATAACTAATTCTAAAATATAATAATAATAAATGCCCTAAGTTTTATTAGGGCATATTATTTCTAGCTAAGACAGAAATGGAGCCATTTTGGACCAAACATAAGTTAAACAAATTATTTCAGCCTTATGGTAACTTAGCCTATTAATCTCCTGAGACCCAAACTTTTGTTTGGTGTGTATTTTTAATTTCTCCGAGCTATTTGGGATCAGTAGGACCTGATTAGCATAAAAAACTAAACATATGCCATGCCATACATGCCATCTTATTTTAACAAGGATTAGTGTATTGTGCTCTTACTACCACTAAATGGCACAAAAAGTGTCCATGAACAAGGACAACAGGTCTAAGTTAAGTAGAATGAATTATAAGGTCAAGCAAACCCAAAATGTGATGTCCTTATCTGAGGACACGGGGTTTCAGGAGGATAAGTCTATAGGTCTAAATGAGCATTCAAAAATATGTTTTACTACAGGATGCTGCTCTGCAGTGGGCTATTGGTACTCTAAGTTTGTGGCGTTTGTGGTGAAAGCAAAAGAATTTGTCCATGCACTTTTAAATTCTCTATTTTCCTCTGTCACTTTTACTTTTTCAGATTTGGAATCCATTGCTAACCTAGCAAGGGAAGCTCAAGACTAGCCACTACTGTTAATGTTTGGCAAAATTTAGAGGAAAAGGTGCCGGACCTTAGACATATGACGCACGTTATAGTTGACAAAAAAAAATAAATAAATAAATCAGGGCATAGACTACATCTTTTTACAATTGTAGATGAAAATGTTGAAAAACAAAATAAATCATTTTCATGTGTCAAAGCCACAGAGAGCCACTGGAGAGGGGCTAAAGAGCCGCATGTGGCCCCAGAGCCACTGGTTGCCTACCCCTGAGCTAAGGCTAATATGTGACCCCTGTCCCTGGTTAGGCTTTTCTGCTTAAGAAGTGCAAAAGTTACGTAACATATCATCATAACTACGATTATGCTTTGAGGATTATGGTATTATGACCCGTGTTCTTTAACCAGCTCTAACCATCTCCTCCCCTGAAAACCAATGTGGCTTTTGGTGAGAAATCTGAAATGGCCTCTCATGCACAGACGACATGCACTTTGCACCATGATGATGGTTTAGACCTTATTTATTTTGGATGCACAACCCCTATCTGCCTCACAGGGTTGGCTTATAGTCATGTGCATGTTCATCAGTTTTTCTCAGCTGACAATTTGTAAACCTCCTGAAACTGGTCTGGTGTGAAAATGAGATCTTTCCTTCCTTAGCTCAGTGTTTACTTAATCAAGGGGAAGCTGTGGCATGCCATCTGGCCAGGTGGTTGGGCTCAAGTGGACGGCACCCAAGAGCCAGTTCCGTCTCCGAGGGTATTAATAAGTCCCTCCGCACTGGGGCTGCTCGGGGCATATTCAGTTATTAATCTGAATTACACGGAAGACGATTAAGGGCATCACGAGGTGACAGATTTTTAAGGAGGGCGTGGGCAGGAAGTGATTACATGTGACAGTGTCACTCTGGCTCCTGTCTACCACTAGCCTCTCTCTCTCTCTCTGTCACACACACACCCCTCCACAATAGTATACCCACCCCGATGTCACCATGCCTCGAGCTTCCGATAGCAGGCTAACATTTCAAGACTACATTCCCGAGGTCTGCTTACTTCTCAGCTACTCATGGGAAACTGGCTACTTGAAGAGAAATGATCACAGTTAAAGCCAGCACTTTATATTTCTTTGGGGTTTTTTTTTATGTCACATTAAAATTATGAAGTGTGTTTTTGCTTTTTGTGTGCAATAAGGATTCTTTTTTATGAGTATTTAAACAAAGGAAAAAGGCAGTAGTTTGCCTGCAGAAGACGTGCAGGCAAACTTTGACAAATCCATACAGCATTAAGACTTACACCGTCTGGCTTATGGACAACAAGCCTTTAAATTGTACACCTAATTGGCAAGCTGGAAAACCCATTCACCGAAGAGCAGACACTGAAACCTAAAACCTTCACTTGCACTTTCTAAAAGTAGACTTTGAGAGAGATCTGCGGCCTCTGCTTGTCACCGGTTTAATTCATGCGCCACTTGCTCCACAACACCCTCAAAGAAAAGAGGGGAGCCAACGTTGCCTCTCCTGTTTTATAAGCGAACGCAGGAGCTGGGATGTTCCCATTTTGTCCAGTGGTTATCACTGGTAGCTGTTAACAGTGGAGAATTACATTGTTCTCATTGCAGCTACTGTATGTTGATCATTCGTGTCATTCTTGATTCGGGTTTTGGCAGGACAATTTGTTTTTCCTGCACTGTGCCGGACAACTTATGTAAGGCTCAGTTATGCCCCAAACTAATTGGGTTGAATGTTACATGTTGATTCAGGGAATGAGGAAAAAATAATTGGACCACTGTGTCCTGCTGCTAAATGTTAGTTTAAGGGTGGATGTCTTTGACTGCAAGATTTCTGGAAGGGATTGTGTTATTGTGGCATGATTTCACATTTAAGTGGACCTCACAGAAAGAGTGTAGGATAAAGGATCAATACCAAACAGATGACAAAAATTGCACACAGATTAAAGCAAAATTATATTTATGTTCAAGTCTGAATATAGCAAGCTAAAAAAAAGGATAGAATAATGAGGGTCACGTAAGGTTTTGCTCACAAAGTTACCTGACTCTCGCTCCCTAACCTCTGCTGTCCTCTGAAGCAGAGTCCCCCCCCCACCCGAGCCTCTAACACTGTAACTTCATCACCTCACAAACCATGGAGCCACACTAGTATGTCTTATGAATTTTATCTGGCCGAGAACTGCGCCCAGAAAGTGCCATATGAATCTAATTGATTAAGACGAGGGTGTAAATGGAGAGGACGAGCTGGGAGGCTGGTGTGGAGGGGACGGTGCATGTCTGCGTCCGGCTGCACCTGTCTAACTTCCCTAAAGGAGCAGGGCCTGGGGCCCCAAGGTGGAGCTCAGCCAAGGGGCAGCAGGAGAGGAAGGAAAGGAAGAGAAGCTTACGTTGAGCTGAATGTGATTCCCCTGAAAATCTCTCTCACCACGTGCTCACCGAAACCTAAAAATAACTTTTATTAGGTTTAAGTGGAATTAGTGGAGATGGTAGTCGTCAGCATGTTCACGGATATATAGACATAGACTTTCTGACATGAGGAGACGGAAGAGCAAGGGGTGTTAATAATAAGAGCCTTGCACACACTCACACACACACACACACACACACACACACACTCGCACAGGAGCATGCACATGTGCAAGCTTGCATGGACACAGACGCAACAAATTCCTCAAGTGAAACCAGTTAATTTACAAGACGATCATCATTTATGTAACAGGGTCAATTATACAGCAGTAATACATGTAACTAAGTCAAATGTACATTTGTAATATTAAGTGTTATAATTCCACAAAATTTGTTTCAGTTGTTATTACCTGACACGCTTAGGCCTCCATACTCAATATGTGGAACATCTGATACTCAGTTTCCGTACCCCTATGTTCACCTTTCAGGGTACCCCACCTAGAAAGGGTTGTCTCCCACCTTACCTCTCCCCTTTTGCTGTGGTACTCCATGGGAGAAGTAAGCGGCATTGCTTTTGTAATTCATTTTATGCTAACATATTCCTGTGTCACTTCATTTGTGCAGGGGCTCGAGTTTGTGTGGTTGTAATTGACGGAGGGTTTTGTTTTCACCTCTTGCTGTCAGCAGTAAACGGAGATCGCCTCCAAAGATATCCACAGTCCGGGCGTCTTTATATTAACACAACGCAGACAACACTAGAATCCACCGGTTACATTTATTCATTTCCCATACTTGCATGTTTCTATTTGGGGTCACTGGTTGTTGGAGCCCACCATCTCACAATCCTTTGGTGGCAGGTAAGGAACCTAGTCACGGATGGTCAAACACATAGAGGCGTAGTTTTTGACTGGATGAAGTCCAATGCTGTGTCTTAATTTGCGATCTTCTGTACTCACAACAGTCAAAAAGTTGAGCATCGAAAGATCATCACCATCTTGGCTACATGGCCTAGGGGGAGGGACTATCAAACTTTTATAAATAACTGCAGAGTAAGCCACAGAGGTTGCGGCAGACTTTGAAGCCAATTTTTGTAGTAACCAAACCGTGTTATTACAACACCTGAGTCCATCACGTGGTGCCATTGGGCCCAAAACGACCTTTTTTCCATAGACTTAGAAGTGAAAAAGAAGTCTGAAAATCAGTGTATACATTTTTTTTGCACATCACAACCCCCAGAAAATGATTCATTTTACTCTTAGGATTTGATCCATTCAGTCTTATAACATTTGGAAGTCTAGAAGAGCCACATGATGATGAAATCATTTTATCCCCATTCAAGTCAACGCAGTGCAAAACTGGAAGTAGTTTGCTAATTCGGTGGAAGTCTCTAGCGCACTTGCCTTATGGGGCGCGGGGATGTGAAAGCAGTGCTGATGGTCCAGTTAATTTTATACACAGAAGTTGGGTCGTGCTTCCAACGCTGTATCCAGTTCTCTGTATACATCCATGGGTTGCAGTTGCTGCGGTGAACAAGCAAACAAGCCTAGATCTGAAGAAGCCTCTTGGATCAGAGGGGAAACGTCTTCGAGAGACTCAAGCTTGCCTATGATATAGCATTTAGGATTGCCATGACCTGGATGACTGAGAATCTTCACCACCAAGCCAGCAGATATTTTTGTGGGGAAACAAGAGGAAGATGAAGAAGTGGTCAGATGCTGCCATTGTCATATCTGGTAAGTTCACAAGGGCAGAAATCAATTTGAGACAACACAACCCCGTCAAAGTTCACGCACTATCCAAGTAAGTACACAGTGTAGGCTAGATAGTGTACAACATGGAAGTGTACTAAGTGAAATATCTGAATTGAGACACAGCACATATCTTTCTGAGAAGAAAAGCTTCTCCACTTTCTCATCCAACCTGTTCCCTTAGCATTGTCACTGCTAATACATAAAATGGAGATGTCTTGAAATAAGTGTGCACTAAAAGTGAAGTAAGAAAAATGTAAACTTTATTGCAACTTTGTCATTCTAAGTTCTCTGATTTACAGAAGAGAAAAACACTTGTAATGGCACAGTCATCGTAATATGTACATTGCTGATACTGCAATAATCCAGACACTCGTGTCGTCCAGATTTAAGAGTGGCATATTAAGGCACATGATTCGCTCAGTCTGTAGAGGGAAGGAATAACACATCAAAGCTTTTCCTGCAACTTATACGTGAACATACCACAGCATTCCATAAAAGTATTAGAATGGGGAACCAGAAAAGCTCCCCGCACGAAGGGCTCGGTTGGGAAATCACAGTTTGTCCATTGTACATTCAGCTCTGGGAGAGATTAAGACGTTGATGTGTTCACAACATACTGCGTTGCACTAAGACATTTGGTGATTTGATAAGCTTCAGTAGACCTGAGTGTTGGAGTTGATACAGTAAACGTGTTGGATCAAAGTGACACAATCAATTTAGTGGTAAAGCATTCACTAAGGTTTCAGAGTCTGTATCATCACTGCCGGCCAGTTAAGATCGTCTCGTGAAGAACAAATCAATAAAGACAACTAACTAATAAACTGTACATAGAGCAATGCATCATGGGGCAAAGGTGATTACATTTCTCCATGAAGAGAATCAGTTATCTCATTCACATATCATTTGCTGAAAGCATTTAGTCAGGGTTGAAACCAAATACAAAATGATCTGACATAAGTAATCCTACTGAGCTAAAGCAAGCGATGGAAATGGATGTGATTACAATGACAGTCCAAAGAATGAGATACTCATCAGGGTTTATGTCAAATGGCCACTGCATCTCTGTGACTTTTTAAAAATCAATCCAAGATGGTTGCAATAAAAAGATGTCTGACCTATGAGAGCATCCTATTTATGTATTTTGGGGTCTAAAGAGCTCTTTCCCCCTTGCCGTCTTATTAGAGGAAGTTTGACATTTTGGGAAATGCACTTATTTGCTTTCTTGCTGAGACGTAAATGAGAAGGTTTGATACCACTCTTGTATCTGTATCATAAATAGGACGTCTCCAGCCAGGAGACCGTTAGCTTAGCATGAAAACTGGAAACTGGAGGAAGTCGCTGCTTCTGTTCAAGAAATAGTCCAGCACATAACCTCTCATAAACCATAATTCATCATTTTTACATTTTGGCTTTTGAATGGATTAAATAAACAAGATATAAACTGTTTATTAGTGAGCTTTAGAGGTGCTGGTAGTCAGATTTCGTTAGCCGTGGACCAGGCGAGCTATTTCCCCACGTTTCCAGTCCTATTGCTGCCTTTAAATGGAAAGTGCAAGCTTGTGGTTACCTCAGGGGAAGTTCTGTAAACAATATGATTGGCGTTCAAGTGGTTTAAGTCGTGAAGCCACTGCTGCAAGGCAACAGCATCTAGAAGCCAACCAGGCTAACAATTTAGTACGCTAGCGAACGGGTAACGTAATGCAGAGGCATAACAATAGAGGACAAAGAGGAGGCTGTTGGGAATATCAACATTTTCCTCATGCAAAGTATAAAATTACCAAGAATAACTTCTAAAATCCCAATATATTAACCTAAACCTAAACCTAAACTAACCACCCACCAAAAAATGAACTTCCATGGCCTCCCCCATCTCTGAAAACATCAGCAATCACATTACAACTCGTAAATTCAGAGCTTCTAGAAAATTTCTGGTGTTCATACGAACTCCTCTCGTGAACACGGTAAACACAACCCCATAGAGTGGTGCAGGGATGAGTTTTTTGTTTTTTTTTAAGGTTGACATGGAAGTTAGCTTCGTCCTGGTTCCCTCGACAAAAAAGCCTGTGGGATTTTTCTACTGGATTTTGAATTATTGCTGAAAATAAGCTCTGCTGCAAACAAATTTTATGATACTTATGTTACATTCAGCACAAGAGTCTTCACAAACTAACACCACTTTCATGATTTTTTAAGCAAAATGCAATTGCTAGAAGTAAAAAGCTAACGTTAGGCTATAAACAAACCACATTACAGCCAGATGACTTAATGTTGCCACCACAGCGTGGCTGTAAAGGCGTTTTCGGCGTGATGGCGTTCTAAAGTCTCATTTAGCCACTTTTTAGCGATCGGCTTTTTTAAGATATCTAAAAGCTTAGAAATTACCAAGTGGGGAATATATTGATGTATTTTATATCGGCGAACAAAACGTGAAAGTCTCTGAAGCTTGTTTTAACCACAGATCTTATTTCAGGCACCTAACCAAAAAAAACTGTTGACTTCAAGACGAGGGAACCATGGTTGCAAAAATACTAACTCATTTCCAGGTTTTAGAATTCATTCCTGCAGCACTCTATTTGGAGCCAGCACATGCAGTCTGCCTGCAGTAGGTTATTATTTACCCTACAGGCGTGACAGCAGTATCGACCTTCTAATCTAACTCCCTGCAATAAAGAGAATAAGAGTATTTCCCAGCATGTCAAACTATCTGTTAAAAACGTAATTTCAACCTATGTGGTGTCGTCAACAAGGCTTTCCTCAGACACTCATGAAAGAGAATATCAACACAACATCAGACAGACTTAATAAAAAATGAGCAGCCCTTCTAAAAGCCCTTACTACAGCAGGTTAGTAAGAAGGTTACATCTAATCTAAATTCAAATATAGCCAGAGTTACAATTACAGTGGCTTGGCCTCAAGTTCATCTGGCCTACAGTACTAAGGGACATTCAGACATGTCCAACGGAGTGGTATGTTGATAAATTAAGTGAAACTACTCTAAGAATAAGTGCTAAGTATAAGGGGTGATAGGCTGTTGTGTCTGATGACTCTGTAAAGCAGTCAAAAACCATAACTTGAGGTACATTCATAAAATATCAGCCCGTCGGCCTGAAAAGTTCAAGTAAAAGCCTCTCCGATGAGTGAGCAAGACATATGGTACCATGGTGCGTCGGTCTCAGTACGAAGCTTTCTGTGAGCTAATTTCCTCCCAATAAGCCTGTTTTTTTCCTTCGTCCTTCGATATCTTCATTTGGTCTTCTTGAGAGATTCAAGCAAAACAATGGGCTTGCTTTGTTCCTCCTTATCAAGAGAGCCAGCAGCGACTAAAAATTTAAAGACTGTAGAAATGCAGTATGTAAACGCACAGATTTCTCCAGGACTTACATACAAAAAAAAAGAGAAAAAAAAAAGGCAGAACAAATCAAAACAGTCCGGAAACAAATCAGCCAAGAGGTAAAACCGATTAACATTTTAAAAAAGGAAGAAAAAAACTGTCACAAAGAGAAAAAAAAATCATTTTGTACTGTAAAGTGCAAGTATAAAAAAAATCTTTCTACATATCGTCTCAAGCCTTGAGACAGGGTCAATGGTCTGTAGTGGAAAAGTGCAAGTTGAGAACAGCACGAGTAATTAAAAAAATAATAATAATAATAATTATTTGATTCAAAACAGTAACAGGATAAGTCAGATGACTCGACGGATCGGTCATGTGACTCAGCTTCTCCGTAAGAAAACAGCCACCTCCTCCAAGGGCACAGGATAGTCCTGTAGGAACGTCCCCCCGTCGAACACCTGAGCGTTCTGGCTGTCCTGCCACTGGAAGCCCCCATCAGGTAAGTAAATATCCCTCTGCACTGCCCCCCTCTCCACCACTGGTGCCACCAGGACCTGGCAACACACATCAGTTTGGTAAAAGTGAAATCAGATGTCAGGGAGATTGTACACTTAATTAGGGTGACATCAGGTTACAGCAGGGGGGTGACTCATACGCTACTGTATGCCAAGTATATTGGAACTCAATCCCTTCCCATCAGAACATCATTAAGTCACCTCGTCTCCGATGAGGAACTGGTCATCGATGGTGAAAGTCATGGGGTCGCTGGGACTGAGCCACCACATCGGCCGGTAGATGGGGTTTCCTGTCATCTGCCACTCCTCTGCATACTTCTCTATCAGTGGGATCACATCCCTCTGGTGCTTTGCTATGTAGGCCCGTGTTAGGTTTAGCACCTGTAAGTCACAAATGGAGAGGGGTACAGATTATAGTAAAAATAACCAATTCTCTACTGACATTAAGAGGCTATAGGGTGCTCATTTTTTAAAGCTAGGGTTAGGGTAATGGTGCAAAGGTAGTGGTATGCTGTAAAACTAGACAAGCTTAAGCCCCGTTTCCACAGAGCAGTATGGTACACATTCAGTTCAGTTTGGTCACATTTTTTCTGTTTCCACTGTGAAAAGTTGTGGATGACAACTTGGATGGATGGATGGATGACAATGATGACTTTTAAGGTGGAACATTTACTTGTTGTCTTACTCAATGTATGAGTTGACGTGAATCCATCAACAGACCTTAAATTTCACTGTGCCAACTTTGACCATTACTGTACTTTTTATTGTCTCTCTCGGATGACATACACTTTTAGTAATGAGTGGATCTTCAAGAGTTCAAGAATATTCATTTTGACCGGATTATGTGAACAGCATATATCCCAATCCTCGCTCTGAGAAAAAAACGTGCCGCAGAGCATTGTTCCTGTGGGCTCCAGCAACACTAAACCCCTGAAATTGCCTGAGAAGGACTAAATGCACAAACCGCTCTTTCTAAATATCCCATGGAGAGAGACTCTCACTGCACCCTGTCCTACCTTGTTCTGAAAATGTTGGCGTATAACCTTGTTCTGCGGATGATAAACAAGGTGCAGATTGATAAAGGAGGAAATACAGTGAGTGCTGGACGGAGCAGTGAGTGACAACAACCCCGCCCACATTTAAGAGTACTGTTTGCGGTGGAAACCCAAGTTGTCTATTTACCATGTCTGAAGGGTTACTTTTGGTTCTATACCAAAAGAGTTTGGTGGAAATGGGTCTTAAGGCATCCATTGGTACCAATCCCATCAGCATAGCTTGTTTGGAAGAGGGCTAAATAATGGTTGAAGATTAGGCAAAATTTTGGCAAGGGAGCAACTGGCATGGCCATTTTTCGAAAGGGTCCCTTAAGCTCTCACCTCAAGATATCTGAATGAAAATGGGTTCTATGGGTATCAGCGAGTCTTTCCTAAACTTGATAAGGCAGGTTCCCTTTTGTTTCTTACTATGAAAGTGCTGCTTCATATTAAAACTGTATATTTGTCTTTTTAAGGAAAAGGACACCTTGCCTAGTTGAAGAAGAATTAATCGCCTAACATGTAGAGATACAAAACATACTTAAACAGGATTGTTGTGGGACTCAAAATGGTAACGGCACTGGTATAAGTCTATGGACATCAGATAATTAATAAAATGTAATATCTGTAAAATAAGAAAGTATTTCAGAATGCAGCACTTTGACTGGCCATAGTGACATAGTTTTCAACTAGCCTTTATACTTATATTCCTGAAATGCAGTTATGGCTTTTGGTTTTGTCGTGCCACCCAAATTTTCAGTGGCCCCATCTGACCACCCCTATGACCTAAATATATTTTCAAGAAATCTAAAGTAAATGAAAAAAATGAAACAAAAAAAGCCATTTCCTTAACTAAATCATCTGACTGAAGGATTTCAGGACAAGAAAAATATTGACAACGAGCTCTGCAAAAGCCATTTGTGCCATCTCTGCACCCAGACATGCAGTCAGAACTTAAGAGCAGCTCATTGTTGACTTAGTGATTTAACACTCCAAGTCGTCCTCTTGTCTCCCTCTGTCAAGCATTCCTGGAAGGGTCACATCCTCTTCAGTGTCCCATGACAAAAACAAAAACGTGACCGCATCTATAAAAAATGTCTTTTTATGAGCTTGGTTTGAGAGCATTTGTAGGAATGAGCTTGAAGTCACAGCCTGGGTTTGAGTGGATCTTTCTCTAATTGAGAAGCCAGGCATGTGTGTGGGTTTGTGGCTTTATTGCTATTTGATTCCAATGTGGTCGCTGCCGTGACCTGTCTGTGACTGAAGTATCACACATTCTGGAAATAAAGGTGCGCCACATTAAAACTACAGTAAAACACCCATTAAAAAAAAGACTCATTTATCACGTGTAACGCAGCAGTCTAGTCTCTAAAATTTCTTCTCAGTCTCACTTCATCCGAGTTTATAAGTTGAGGGCCACGCAAGAGACCCAAATGGAAAACATTGCTGCTGTCAAATGTCTAGCTGTCCAAAAGGCCTATTTTTATCTTTGTCACGCAACGCAAGTCATAACTAATATATTTTGCTGCTTCAGTCCTCTCCTCGTGGAAAAAAGAAAAGCCGTTGATCACTCCCACTCTGTCACACTTGTCAATTACTCATGGAAATCTTAATTGCCACAATAAAGTATTTTTCCAAGACTTGTCCTTAAATTCATTATCATTCCTGCCGAAGTGGCTCTTGAGAGTGAGAGTGAGCCATAAATCTAGAGGAGGGATTGTAATTCGGAACAGATGGACTCTTAACCACAGGTGATGTCGGGAAGGGGCCAGGCAGTCGCCCCTACTGAGGAAAGAAAGGAAGGGCAGTGGAGGGGAGGGGGGTAAAATAGCCCTAACCCTCTTGACAAGCATCAAGTGCTTTTCTGTTGGGGAACCTGAGCCGTAAAAACTATCAATATCTGTCACCAGACTCTCTGAGATTGCAGGCTTTGTTTTCCTGCCATGCACGGTGAACATTCCTGATTTCCAGCGGAGAGGGTCAGGGTTTTAGTCCTGGCTCTCATGCTGTCACGTTTGAGTTCTGATAGTCCAGGTCTCAGCAGCCTTCACACTCCTCTGCAAAACACACCGGTGGGAACTTCTCAGCATTGACCCTCAAAACTAAGGAGAGGCTGCTGGGTCAATAAATTCTCCCTCTCTCGCCTCTTTTCATAAGCAACCTTAGCCACTCCGCAAGAAGGAAGGATAATCTCCCTCTCCATTTAAGAACATCTAATTGGCAGCATTCACACATCACTTCACTTGATCTCTCTCACTGTAAACCTTCACAAATGAAAATCTTGTTTTTAGTCCAGAAAAGAATGTGAACACCTCTTTTCTTTTTGCTGATGTAATCATTTTTAATGTGGATAAGGCAGATGTAATGACAGCTCCTCAGCCTGGAGCTGCAGGGTTGGCCAAAGTGCGGTCAAGAGGAAAGAGTTGCTGGGTTAGAGGGCGGCTACATGAAGTGCTCTGACTGCTTTGTAATGTGTTTTTCATTGTAGTTTTTTCCATAATCATAATCATAATTCTAGTTGCATACCCGGTCCTCTCCACAGACCCAGGGTGGCGTATGGAAGCTGATAACAGGGAGAAAGGCTGTGATCTCCAGCCAACGGATGAACAACTCCTCATCTGTGACCAGGTCTCCAGACAGAGAGCCACCTGTAGGTGAAGAGAGAGGGATGGGCAGAGGCAGAAATTAAGACACATTAGTTGAACAGTTAAGAACTGATACTGTATTCATTCTCTGGCTTTTGAAATTGACTTATTCAAAAAACATGCATGTGAGGCATTTTTGCCTTTATTAGAAAGGAGAGTCCAGCATGAAGCGGGGAGAGAGACCAGGGAAGACACGCAGCAAAGGTCCAGAGTTGGAGTCAAGCCAGCGGCTGCTGAGGCAAGGACATAGCCTTTGTACAGTACATGGGGCACCCACTCTACCAGGTGTGCTGAGGGCGTCCTCACATACCAAAGTCTGGGGCTACCTTACAACTTGCTGAAACCTGGTAATGCTGGACAAACCACTTGTAAAGATTGTTTCCAACAACTTGTCCAGATTTTTTAGTCTTTGCGCTCATTAAGCAGCATAAACCTTACGGCTGAGTAAACACAACACGCTGAACAACTGGTCATTAACGACTTGGGATTTGGCAAAAGACGACCCCGAAAATCCTGCAAAACAGCACTTGTCACATACTAAAGACAAACTGGTACGGCAACCAGCAGTTTGAACTGATTATATGCAGAACAATTTGTGCTGAAATGGCCTTAAAAGGAGGGCAAAGGCTTATTGTGCGAGAGCCTGGATTGAGAAGTTTAGACAATGCAAACGGTATAGCCGACAGAGAGCATTTGAGGTGAGTGAACTTAAGGTAAGTCTGTTTATTGACACACGTGATGTAATCAGTCGTTGATGACAGTCACAAATATCAAACATGTTTCAAAAATCTTTATGAAATTGACTGGCAGAAACTGGATCTAAAGACTTCGGAAATATGGATTTATCTGCCGATTGTCAACAGGTGACAGGGATGGATGAGACATATGAGAAGAATTATGCACTTTTTTCATGAAATATTAAGAACTGGACTGTCGTATTAGAGATGAGAAAGATGACCCATAGGCTGTGGTATTACCTACTGCATCAGGAATGAGGAAGTTGTATCCCAGCAGAGTGTGGTGCAGCAGGGAGGGAATGATGCCCTTCAGGCCCATTGGGCTCCAGTCGGACTGCAAGGGGGTCATCTTCACAAACAGAGGTTTGTGGTTCGACCTAAGACACATACACTATCATAGTAAGCGGAAGCAGAACAAGGACTCTGTACCTATAAATACTGTCAGTCGGTATTGGGTAAAAATGGCAAACTGCAAAACGCGAGAGGGCTGTTACCGTGTCCCTGCTGTCACAATGGTGGAGTCTCCTATCCTTGTGGCCAGGTCGGCCAGCAGGCTGATGTACTTGTCTCCACTGAGAGCCTGCGGTGGCCGCAGGGCTTGCTCCTCAAACAGATTCCCTTCGCCCCCCTCCAGCATGACGTACTCCATCCCCAAATGGGCCTGCAGGGATCCCACCCTGTCCAGGAACCAGCTCACCGCTCCTGGGTTGGTAATGTTCAGCTTAACGCAGAACTTTCCTCGCCACTGACTCATCACAGGGATCTGAAGGATAGAAAGTACAGAGTTCATTTTACAGAGCTTCTATTTTGGTAATTAATTATGAACCTCAGTGCTTCTGCTGTTGCAGTAATAGATTTTCTGGATTAGGCCATGTTCACACTGCTCTGCTTTTTATCAGACTGCAACTAGTGAATGGAGACAGGCTGCGGGGCAGATGGAAAGTGCTCACTTTGGAAAAAGTTCTGCGTCTGGTTTCTTTTCATAAAGAGTGTTCTCGTAAGTTGAGGAAAGTTCAATGTTTTAGACATGGAATATGTTTTCTGTGAATGGACCAATCACAAGGTAGAGGAAGCGGAGTTCCCCCTCCTTACCACCACCAGCACCACAACAACAACCAGAATAAAATCACTTAAGTGCTTTTGAGTGTGCTCTGCTCAGGTCTCACCAGCTGTCCCTGAGGGGCTGAGGGGAGACTGAGCCAGTAGGCCTCAGTGCCATCCACGAGGGAGGTGTGGAACTGCGTGGTGTCCACGCCCAGGAAAGGGGACAAGGTGATGGAAATGTTAAGAAGCTTGACAAGTGGGAGGTCCCTGGTCAGTCTCTTGGACATCCCCCTTTTCCTGCTGTTGAGGTAGTCATGGTCCTACAGAGACACAGAGATACGCTGCCATAACTGCATGAACAGACCTGAAACATCAGCACTTTGCATTGCGAGAGGCAGTCTGTACCAACATCATTTAACAGTAGCTGAATCAGCAACTGGCCATATTGCATCAAAATAACTATAATACAATTCAATGCACTAATTGAACAATTTTAATGTTCATAAACCGGTACAAAAAATTGCTTTATGTTAGGTACAGACACACTGATCTCTCCATGTGGACACATTGCTTTGCAAACTGGTATCTGTGACAATACAACCTCTGCCAGAACCTTTGAACATATATCATAATCCTTTGGAATTCGCTTGGTAAAGTCAAACACAGATTTCAGGTTACATAACTGTGGAACGAAACCTTTTAAGAATACAAAGATTGACCAGGAGGTGAACCGGCTGTGAGAAGAAAGAGTAGATTAGCACATCTTATGTAATTTTTTAGAATGTTTTTTCGTTTTGTTCTGCTTCTTTCCTGAATTTAAACTACACATAATTGTCAAAATACTCAAAACTAAAGAGGACTAAAACATAGAAAAGCATCTGGTCTTGTTTTGTGAAAAGCTGCATATTTAGTGTCAAAGGAATAGGTTTAGAAACATTGCAAATGTATTACAGGGGGCCGATGCTTTTCTTTATTTCTGTCATATATATGTTATAATGATGGATGTTCATTTTAAACATGGCCAACATTTCAAATAATGAGGTAAAAGTATATAAAAGTAATCCCTATGAGCAAAACCATCAGGCTTCAGACCATCCTGACTACTCTGTTTCCAACTATTGTTTTCTACTTTGGCTCATGAAGGATTTCTTAATATGGTCATCTGCTCCAGCTGCAAGTGTTTACATTACATAGCCTAAATTGCTACATAGAGCTACATGCTAACCTCAGGGAAACATAATCTTGGTTGCCAATGTTGCTGAAATATGTCCGGTGGTTGGGAAGTTTGGGGTTAAAAAGGTTATATTGCTGATTTTTACTATAAAAAAGTGTAACTTGTTGGGAATAGAATGATTTTATGTGTTTTACTATAAGTTGTGTTTCACTATATAAGTTTTAGATGTGTGAACAATGAGAATACTGAGATGATTTCAGCTGATCTGAATGTGTTTGCTTTGCAGAAGTGGAGAAGTACAGGAGAGGAAGAGACATGAAGTCTGAGGAGCACATACCGCAATGCTTAGATAATTAGTTTCATATATGGTAAAAAGAATAGAAAGTGATATACAGATAGTAAGGTACAGCACGTGTAGGGAGTTGTGTTGTTCTCTTGTCTTTCAAAACAGGAACCACGCCCCCACCGCCAGCGGGAAGGAGTCAGATTAACACGAGGCAGGGGCGTGGTGTGGTGAAGGAGGAAGTGGAACTGCCAATGAGAAGAGGACAACGCCTTGCGTGCACAATGACACTCTGTTACGCTCAAATATACTGGGTCAGGGAAAGGACAGGAGGTCAGACTTCGTGAACTGACACACCTTTGTTGTTCGTCAGGGACGTGAAGTTGAGACCCAGAGCTCTGTAATTTTATTCCTTTACTGCTTAATAAACTACATTAACTGAGACCGTATATCTTCTCCTATTGCTTCATTAAAGAACACGCAGGACTGAGCTCACACATAGCACATTTGAGAGTAGGATGAGACTCTTAGTCCAACAAACTATACTCTGTTACAGTCATTCCCCTGGCTGCAATGATGGTACAGAGACACCAAGAACGCAGATGCCGAAGACCTGGAAACACTGACCAATCACAGCAGACCATTTGGCTTTTTTTTTTTCTTTTTTTTGGGAGGGGGGCTTAAAGAGACAGGACAGAGGGTGAATACAGGTGCTCCAGCACAGGCACTATGAGAAAAATAAAAATGGGTTTTGAACACTGAAGCATGTAAACGTGCTGATAGAAACCCAAAATACAGATGTGAACCTGAAAATGAGCATAATAGGTCCACTTGAATAACTCCAGTGTTCCAAAGCCTGCAATTCCAAGATAATAGGAAACTGGAAGGGAAAGGTCGCGTGTGACTGATCATTTATGGACACTTGTCAATATGTAGAGTGAAAGAAAAGACTAGTTTTTCATTTTTCTTTACAGACATTATTGTGGCCCGTCACACTTCTTCAGATCCTTATACCTCACAAATAACTTAAAGTTCCATAATGCAGGTCTATACACTTGGCGGATTCTTTATGGCATTTATGCCTTGTGGGTAACCTGTGAGTGTGTGACGTGTGCTTTGTTGTGTATGTGGAGGGACGCAGCTTTCTCGGGGTGTGTCATGGTGAAGACAGTATGCAGATAAAAGTGATGATAGTCATTTGAATTAAGTGTCTTGATAGACACAGAGGACATGAGATTGTGGTAAAGAGAAACTCTTGTTCACCACATGACACCCATCAACTGACGTGTTATTCCTCCCATTTCTTCCCCCCTTTTTCATCCTTTCACACGTTCTGATCCAGGAATGGGAGCCTACTGTAAGCATTGTGTGTGTATATATAATAAACTCGACCTCTCTGATGGACAGATTGTGTGAAACTCCTCTGCCTCCTCTTCTGTTGCCACACGGTCCAGGTCAGATCGCAACATCGAGCTGGTGTCAGGATCACCTACTCAAGTTAGTCTTGGCTCACATCCCTTCTAATCCCAACACACCCAATTCTTCGCCGTCCCACGGTTACCACACTCGGAGCAACCTGAGATCAGTTAGGGGAGCCTCTGTTTGTCTTCTCTCAGCTATATTTGTTTTGTAATGGAATATCACAGGGTATTGACTTAGATCCACTCAAGAGTGGTCCTGGTGGTCTCTTGTTTCCAGGCAGTTCCCTACAACCTTCAAGGAAAGTAACTGGATAAATGTGAACTGATGATGATAAACATCACCTGCCCTTTTGTATCACACACCAGATACTGTATGGACCAATGAATCATGAAGTTTAGAATACCTGAAACATATTAGGTGAGCCTGATATATCACATTTACAAGCTTAAAGACAGAACTTAAAAATGTGGCCTGCAGGTAGTGTGGTCTGCACTCAGGGAAACAAATTTTTCAACATTTTTTTTCTACGTTGTGACATTTCTGTGAACCTGTCCTCCCTCCTTCGCTTCCCGCCCGTCTCCAGCTTTCTGGAGATCCACTTAAGAAAACTCTTTCATCTCTGTCCTTGACCAGTTCTGAGCCTGTGACCGATGAACCCTCACCAGCCTCACAGCCCAGATGGTTGAAGAGGAGGATTATGGGAGTCTACAGCTACATGGTGTAAGAAACAGCCAAATAAAGAGAGGATGAAGAAATGACCACTTGTACCAATAGAGATAAGCATAGTAGTAGGCTACTGTAAAGTATCTCTGCTGGTACAAATTTAAAGGAATACTTCATCTCCCCCAAAGACCATTTGTTGCCTATTTCAATTACTCACCCACTGTTGCGTTAAAATCTCTAAGAAAATGTTGTTTTTCTTGCATGCCTCAGATAAACAAAAAATTCTTGATGAACTGAAGTCATAGGTGACCACATGTAACAACAGAAAAACTAAAAACATCTGATTACAAACACTCACAACATCAATGCAGTAAAATCAAAGTCTTAAGTATAGTCGAAGTCTTGCCATAGAGACAGCTCTTTCAATTGGGGAACTGAACTACAAGTGAAACTTAGGGTGCTTTCAGACCTAGAGTTGTCTTGCTTTGGTCCAAATCAGGGACTAATTTTGTCACAAAGTTGCATAATTGCCCAGAGTTGGTTCGTGTTCTCACGGCAGCATTTACAAGCGGACCAGATAAAATGCCTTGTGTGAGAAAGCTGCTCTTGATTGGTCATAACTCCCATGTGGGAAAAATCCAGGAAGTGAACAAGACGTTGAAGAAGAGTACACTTGCAAGATAAATGCGACACTTTCTAATATCACAATGGAGGGACAACTACGCAGGTTGATTTTAGTGCTGGTCATTGTGTACTATATTGCTGTCATTGTTCATTTTAGGCAAATCACACAGACTGAAAACGAGGCGCGGCTCCAACTAGAAAACAATGTTTTAATGCATTGGGTATGCTGAATGTGCATATTAAAGGGAAATTTCGGTTTATTTCAACCTGTCTCCTATCATCCTAAATTTGTTTCAAGTGACTAGTGACATAAAAATAATAGTTAGCATGTTAGCCGTTAGCCTAGATACAGCCGGGGCGCATAGTAGCGTCAGACCTGTTAAAACGCAAGTGAACGGGCATACTTCAAGTGCAAAGTTAGTCCACTAAACAAGCTTTTTTTCCACAAAGACCGCCTCATATCGTTAGGATAAATGTCAGAGAACATATAGAAAATGACATGTAAACGTGTTGTCTTACCTTACCGGTGTG